GTGTGGGGCTCTTTGTGACAGTTCCCATAGCCATTCTGCCCCATAAGGATAGACCGTCCATGCAACCTGACCCATGGAGTCCAAATGCTGGATCAGTGCAAATCAACAATTAAGGAGCAGGTCTTTTGCAAAGGCAATGGCTCTTAGCTGCCGGATGAAGACCTAAACCTTCCTCAAGCACTTTGCATTACAATATAAAGTTTCGGGGGAAATCCATTTCCCTGCCAGGTATTTAGGAGATCGTAGCTAGGCTTAGACAGAGCAGGGAAGTTTGAAGCAGGAGGTGGATGATTTCATAGTCCCTAATGCTCAGATGTCACAGGGCTTTCATATCACAAGCCCTAACTGCCCAACACCACTAAAGCTTTTTTTTATCAACCACGACAGGGTTGAGAAAGGAGGGGAGATTTATTCTCAGTGTGGAACCTTCAAATACCGTTCTGGGGTAAGTGAACTGCTCAGCAAAATGTTTTTTTAAAAAACCATTTAAAGTGCAGGCGTGATCAAGTAGGGAACAGTGCAATTCTACATACAATAAATACAGAAGTAATTCCCACAAGCTTAAACACTTCGGCTCTTAAGTATGCTTCCGATGGCTCTGTAAATGGTGGAGTTGATTACTCAGGCCCTGTTCGCAGAGAGAGAGAGACTTTAAACCGGGCAACAAAAGCTGAACGCAGGTGTGTTTGTACAGTACTAGCAAATAAATAAACATACCGTGTACATAATAATTTTTTTAAAACAGTAACACTTATTCATAGGGAGATCTCCGTTATATTTGCTTTTTTCCCTTCTCCTTTTGCAGTGCAACGCCACCATCAAAGTAGACCCTGCCTGGAAAGTGGCCGATCCGTGAGCTACCATTTAAAGTTTGCAACAATGCAGATGCACACGACAATAAATTCATTACAGCTGGACGAATACTCAACACCAAACCAGCAGGCCCCTTTTTTCACCCTCCCACTGCAGCAAAAACCGTGAGCTGATAGAGAAGGTGTCACGACAACCAGGAATTCATCGGCTGCCGATTGGAAGTGACAGGAACACCACTTAATCCAGGGACGATTCTATCTATTCTGAGAGCTGTTTCTCTCTGGAAGGAGGTCGCTGGACAGCAACACGGGCTGTGTTGTTATTCTACGCCAAGCATTCCCCTGATCAAGGATTATTCCAAATTTCAGTAACTTTCTCACACAGACTGGGGAATCGGATGATGATGATTCCTTCAAAAAAAAAAAGTACATGCTTGCAATAACAACACACTTTGAATATATATATTTATTTAATATATACACAACATTCACCAATGGCCTTATCCAAATGTCATAGAAACTCTCTCTTTGGTTATTGGCAGTTAAAAATAGCAAGGAACTGTTTTATGTAAATGGCCAGGGAGCTTCTCTAGATGTCAGTTGATGAGGAATGTGAAAAATACGGGTCCCGCATTGGGAAGACCATTAGGGAACACCACTGAAAATGGCAGCAATCTTAAGCACACCTTCCCACTTCAGTGTAACCTGACCTGCACACACACACACACACACCCAAAATCACTGCATTATGGCTTCTCTCATCTGTGTCAGTAACACTCAATGCTGGGGTGTGAGGGGATGTGAGGATGAAGCAACCACGTCTTGTGCGTCCGTAGGCAGCTGCTGTTTTCAGGCCCACGTAGATTGGCAAGGGGCGGCCCACGAGCCCCCTTCAGTCCCCCTGCCTCCCCAAATTTTAAATTTTATTTGAATTGCTCAGATGGTCCCCCTATGGGAAGCGACGGCAAACCTTTTTGAGCCCAAGTGCCCAAACTAGGAGAAAAGGGGGGAAAAACCAACAGGTTGTGGAAGGAGCAGAGGCAGAAGGGGGAATCCCAGGCATGCTCAACCCCCACCAGTGCCAGCTGCTCCGGATCCTGGCCCACCATTTGTCGGGGTGCCAGCACCGTGGCGGCAGCCCCCATCTCAGGTTTGGCTGCCAGGGGTAGCGATCCAGTGATTTATGGCTCTGCGCGCCAGCAGTGGCACATGTGCCACAGGTTCGCCATCGCTGCCCTAGGGCAGGCAAGAGGCAATTCTGTCATACAGGGCACGCAAGAGGACCCTTTCCAATTAAATAATAATAATAATTGAAGCCCAGCTTCAAGACCCATGAAATTATGTAAGGAATACACACACTCCATTGTGCCTGGCTGCTGTAACACCTTTAGTGACATAGGGTAAAGGTTCCCCTTGACATTTAGTCTACTCGTGTCCGACTCTAGGGCGCGGTGCTCATCCCATTTCCAAGCCATGGAGCCAGTGTTTGTCCGAAGACAGTTTCCGTGGTCGCGTGGCCAGCGCTACTAGACACGGAACGCCGTTACCTTCCCACCGAGGTGGTCCCTATTTATCTACACACACTTTGCATGCTTTCGAACAGCTAGGTTGTCAGGAGCTGGGACAAGCGACGGGAGCTCACTCCGTCACGTGGATTCGATCTTACGACAGCTGGTCTGCTGACCTTGCAGCAGAGAGGCTTCTGCGGTTCAACCCGCAGCGCCACCACGTCCCACGACATAGTGACATAACTCTGTAGAAAAACTTAACCAGATTACAGGTCCTATATCTGACGAAATAACTCATCCATGGACTCAGGACGGTGATATACAATTTACACATTTTGGCGAAAACATTTTTTTTCTCCTCAGAGCAGGGGAGAGAATGTGCTCCACCCCATGGAAGATGCTTCTCTTCAGAGCCTAACAGGAAAAAAAAATTCAACCACAAAGACATGATGAACTGATACCTCCTCAAGATAAGGCAACACAGAACTGGATTGGAATGCCGTTTTCCCCTGCTGAAAAATTCCTTCTATCCAAACGTCTTAGCGGATTCCAAAAATATAAACGGAAGTTTTTCTTTTGGTATTTGCGCTTCACCCTAGCCTGGCAATTCTGAAATAATAATCTTTAAAAGCTTTCTGGGAAATCCTCTCCTCCATAAAACCCTGAACTCCAGTTCCAGGAAAGCAATGTAAGATAGCACTGAAATTAGTGGAATGTGTTAATTGTGCTAAAGACCTTTGACCTTAACTTAGCTTTGACTCCATTTCATTGGGCCTATATGCTACAAAACTGTTGTTATTAGGTGCTGTTAAGTCACATCCAATTAATGGTGATTCTTACAGGGTTTTCAATGTATGCGAGATATTTAAGCAACAGTTTTAGCATTGCTTTCCCCTCTTCCCCCACTGAGTTTCAATGGCCAAGACAGGATTCGAACCCAGGTCTCCTCATTCCATCTACTGTACCACACTGGCTCTTGTCGGAAGCTTAAAACACAGTTATTCTGAAATCACTGGTTCTAGCTTCCAACGGCTTGAATGTGGAAAGGACCACATTCAAGATTATTTGCGATGTTTCCCTGAACATCATAGATAATAAAAAACCTTCCATTGAAGCCGCCATTTTGAAAGTCTGTTCACAAGTGGGTTCCTTGTGGTTGCCTGAATATGAGTGGTAATTCCCCTTTGGCTCTGAGGAAGGCCCTTTGATCAAACCAACTGAGCACATATCATAAAATAATGTACCAATGTCAAGCCTTAGAGGAATTCTGTTGTACGCAATGCTCTGAGGAGTTGTCTTCTAGTGACTGAGATGGTTGCTTAGTAAACGAGTGTACTCAAGTAGCTTGCAGGATTAAGAGAGACACACAGTGGCTTCTGTGTCGCAACCATTATTGTTTGTTCTAGTCTCTCATTCTAGACCAGTGGTTCCCAACCTTGGGTGCCCAGATGTTCTTGGACTACAACTCCCAGAAATCTTGGGCCAGCACAGCTAGGAGTGAAGGCTTCTAGGAGTTTTCGTCCAAGAACATCCGAGGAGCCAAGGCTGAGAACCACTGTTCTAGATTTTCATATATGGGCTGGAATCCTGTTGTGCAGCTTAAGTTGTGCATCATCCTCATCCTCATCCACAGCATTTTTTAAAGGAAATCAAACAATTCTGATTCATCCTGAGATCATGTTCTTAGTTGGATGATGAGGGAGGGGTGGGGAGTCTTTTAATTTCCTAAAATCACTGATGCTGGTAAAGTCACCCTGCTGGTGGTGATTTTCAGAGATTAAAGACTTCCGGAAAGGGATTCCTCCAAAGGAGCCTCAGGACCTTCTGGGGGGGGGGGCATGGCTGATGGCACCATTAGCCTTACACAGTATGAAAGCAACAAGATCTCAGCCATTATATAACTCTGTTCTAAGTGTTAAAAAAATCCCTCATATAACCAAATTACAGTGGTGCCTCGCTTTACAATTGCCCCACATTACTACGAATCTGCTTTACGACGATCTTTTTGCGATCGTAATTGCGATCACAAAACAATGGTCTAAATGGGGGAATTTCGCTTTGCAATGATCGGTTCCCTGTTTCGGGAACCGATTCTTTGCAAAACAATATTTTTTTAACAGCTGATCGGCGGCTTCAAAATGGCCGCCGGCTTTCAAAATGCCCCCCCCCGCTGTTTTCTAGAGAAGGATTCCTCACTATACAAGCAGTGAAAATGGCCGCATATGGAGGATCTTCACTGGACGGTGAGTTTTTACCCCATTGTAACGCATTGAACGGGTTTCAATGCGTTTCAATGGGGTTTTTATTTTCGCTTTACGATGGCGATTTTCCTGGAACAGATTATCGTTAAGTGAGTCACCACTGTATGAACAAAAACATGTCATCCCCCTTTCCCAAGAGGTGAAACTTCTTTGCTAGAGTTGTTGGCCAGAATTCTCTTCATAGCAGTACAGCATAAGAGGCAGAGCCCTCTGCCATTCTCAAGCCCATCTCTGGCTTGCCATTACACAAAGCATGGTTTGCCCCATTAGAAACCACAGGGCTTGAGCAAGGGGTAGCACATGCCGCCTTGCGCTAGTGGTGTATTCCTACAACCCCACGTGCAAAGGGGCCCACATCCACATGCAAAAAAGAGAGGCATGCTTCCAGTTCTCAAGACGCTAGTCCTTCCAAAGTCTGCTGAGCTAAGAGGATTTATTTATTTATTTACAGATGACCTTCAGGGACAATCTGTACGTCTGCAGATAACTTCATATTCTGCGAAATCATGGTGTTGCTAATGGCAGATGCAGGAAGCAAAAAGAACACCAGTGAGAAGCACAGATTATCCCTGAAAGAATTTTATTGAGAATGGATGTCATGAAAGCCCAGTTCATCCAAGCCACACAGCCCTATAGATGCATCTTTCCACCGCCTTGTTCCTATTGATAGTTTTACTCAGAGCTGGCCTGTCGTACGTTCGCCCAATGCAAGGGCTTATTGCTACGGGATGCAGGACTACAGGGATGCAGCACATGAGATTTCTGGATCATCTGTGTTGGAAGACCACGTTAGCAAAACAAAACAGCATAACATGGACTTTGCAGAGGTGTCAGTGGCCAGAGGAAGGCAAGACCCATGCAAACATTTAGCCTCATGATGCAGATTGCCTTCTCTTGGACCAGCCCATGGCTAGAGAAGGGACACCCACTGCAATAGGGGGCAGCTTCTATCCCGGAATGTCTTTTTAGCAGCAACACGGAAGAGCAGAACCATCCGACTCTTCTTCAAAGATTCCAACCTGGACATTTTGCGCAGCACGAGAGAGTGTCAGTTTTCCACCACGGCCCATCCAGCTTTTTGTCTCTGTTTCGCCAACACTACCTCCTTTTTCGCATGCAGGCTTCCAGCCTCCCCAGTTCTTCGTAGGATTGGTAGAAAAGGTCAAAATCTTTGGCACCCCAGCTCCGCCAGACGGCCAGGCAGCATTCTGCGGCCTCCGTCTTAAAGCAACAGGCCACGGTGCCCCTGGCCAGGACGGCGGCATCCACCAGTGACCTGGGGAAAAAAGGAAACCATGTCTGGGACGGAGAGCCTCAAAACAAGAGACAAAGAAACTCTCTCTTTTTGGCACAGTGGACATTACAAGGAGATAATTACAATGGTGCCTCGCTAGACAGTTACCCCGCCTACCTGAGTGGGTTATTTTTTCCAATGGATGGATGTGCCTTACTGCTTTGAATCTGTTTTTGGAGTTGCTTTTGTTTACGGTACAGTGGTGCCTTGCTAGACAGTTAGCCCGCATGACAGTTTTTTCGCCAGACATTGACTTTTTGCGATCGCTATAGCGATTCGCAAAACGGTGATTCCTATGGGGGAATTTCGCTGGACAATGTTTGGTCCCTGCTTCGCAAACCGATTTTCACGAGGTGACAATTTTGACAGCTCCCTCCACACTCGCAAAACGGGTGTTTTCGGGACCTAAGCTTTGCAAGACAGCTATTTAAACAGCTGATCGGCGGTTCGCAAAGCGGCTTTCCTATGGCCGATCTTCGCTAGACAATGACAATTCTTCCCCATTGGAACACATTAAACAGGTTTCAATGCATTCCAATGGAGAAACACTAGACCTCAAAACAAGAGACAAAGAAACTCTCTCTTTTTGGCACAGTGGACATTACAAGGAGATAATTATCACTGTCATTCTGGAAAGTAAGTTTCCCATCCGGGGACCACAACAAGCTGCAAATACAACTTAGAAACACTTGGAAGCGCTGAAACAGGGCTATTTGAAAAGGTATCACATCGCTCCTCTCTGTGATTAGCTAACTTGGAATGCATTATACCGGCTAACAAGAAGTAGTACAATATGCAAAATAAGAAAGCTTTGGGTCAGCTAGCCTGATTTTTCCTGCCTGCGGGATTTGCATCTCCTGGCACAGAATCTAGATTGGCCAGGAGTAGAAACGTCATACTTTCTTGTTCGGTGTAGACAGGAACTCCTAAATGGGGACCACAACAACTGCAGAAAGTATACAACTTAGGAACACTTGGAAGCACTGAAATAAGGCTATTTGAAAATGTACATCGCTCCTCTCTGTGATTAGCTAATTTGGAATGCATTATATCGGCTAACAAGAAGTAGTACAATATGCAAAATAAGAAAGCTTTGGGTCAGCTAGCCTGATTTTTCCTGCCTGCGGGATTTGCATCTCCTGGCACAGAATCTAGATTGCCCAGGAGTAGAAACGTCATACTTTCTTGCATGGTGTAGACAGGAACTCCTAAATAGGTCAGTAGTTTGGGAGTCTGGCTGCAGAAACTGGGAAGTCTGATTCTTCACCATGCCTTCCTTATAGGGTCCCCTTCTAGCTCTGCAGTTCTTAAGATGATCATTATTACTATTTCTTCTCCTAATGGGCTGTGAAGTTTTGTTTTATTTTTGTCTTCTGCACGGATGTGATCACCTGTATCAGTGGGACTTCTCCTCCATTTGCTAGCAGGCGGTATGACTGATTGATTGGTTGATTTTATTATTATATTATTATTATTGTTCTTGTTGTTGCATTTATGCAAGGAGAGGGGAGGTGCGCATAGCTGAGGCAGACACAGCCCTGCTCTGTCAAAACCACTTTCACCCCAGTGGCGCTCATGAATGTTCAAGGAGAGCCTTTCCGTGAATGCTTGTTCTATCCTGATCAGAGATGGGGGGTGAGAGTAAAATCAGGGTCCCCAAAAAAATGAAACAAAGTTGAGAACCATTGATGTGTGGCATCCGTCTTTCATCCTTACCCGTAGGAGGCCAGTTCTGCAGCCTTCAAGACAGCAATGACTCTTCCCCGCTGAGAATTGGCTTCTTTCTCCAAGCCGAGGACTATAATATCTCCGCCACCTCTAAAATGGGGAAACAAGCCAGTTGGCAGGGGAACTGATTGGGCAAACACATGCTTTCCAAACATTCCTTGGAGGAAGTGCCTTAACACGGCCAACATCATTAATTGTTGAAAAATAGGAAGAAGAACCAAATCAAGTACGGAGCTTCTAAAACGGCATTCAAAAGATATACTGTAAAGCGCCATCCGAGGAGTACATCTTCATCTAGGGCTCATAAAAAGGAGTCACCTCCTGTTTTCGTACGTTTAGCCAAGAAATGGACACGGGTTCAGGAGAGCCACCCAAAGTCTAACATGTTCAAGAAAGGAGTGTGCAGAAACAGATTTCTTGAACTGCGCAAGCCACGGATGGTCAGCACAAGTCACTAGAAATATTTGGTCGAAACATGTTGGAAGGAGCGTTGGAAGTCTTTGATGACGCCCCCTCCCCCAAGCAAAACCATGAATGGGAATCTAACTGGGTGAAGACCTTCTTCTCAAAAGCAGTCATGAAAGTGCAACAAATCAGGCTGCTCGTGTTTAACTAAGCAGCACCCCATTAGACTGGATTTTGTTAGAAGAAGCGCAGGAGATGAAGGCTGATACGTTTGCTTCCATGCTAGAAATCCATAAAGAAGTAGGGACCTGATAAACCCTGTATGCAGTCCAGCATCTTCCTGGAGAACCATACTTTGCCTGCCTCTGCCCATTAAAATATTTACAGTCTGATGGAGGAGGAGGAGAGCAGACCGTCAACCAACTTTCCAGTGGTGAAACTCCCTCGGGCCCCGATGTGAGACTTACCTGGGAATCCACAGGAGGTCCTTCACAGGGAGGATTCTCACAGCCTGGAGACCCCCAAGATCATCGCCGGCTGATACGGCACCACTTTCCGGTTTCTCGGAAAGAGGGTTCAGCTCTTGAAGTTTGTCAAGCTCCTCACAGTCTGTCGAGAAAGGCACACTGGAGAAACTGGTAGGGGAGTTGGACAGACTCAAGGAGGACCTCGTCATCTGGTTGGCAGATAAGGAGCACGAAGACACGGAACAGTAGTCGGTCACGGAGTCCTGGTGGTTTATTATCTGAATGCCCAGCTCTTGGCTTTTCAAGATGCTGACATCCAACGAGGAGCTGGTTTCCGGAGTCAGGCTCCCGTCTGCAGCCAAGGCAGTGGGGATCAAGGGCGAGGCGTGCTGAATGGGGAACATGTCCCTCAAGGGACTGCGGTCCCCACAGAAGTAGCGTGCACAGAGCTGGTAGGTGGAGGTGTAATACATCACCAGGAAGTTGCTTGTATCGTCTAAACACCAGGCCACCTCCTCCCCGTTGCAGTCGGAGCTGCACACGATCGACACCACAGTGGAAGGGGGACTATAGGGCTCCAACCGCCTGGTGATGTCCATGGCCGCGCAGTCAATGATGAGGACACCCGGGCCATTGCTGTACCAGACTTCGGCCCCGTGGTTGGCGATCTCCATTGCTCTCACGGGGTAAGGGTTCTGGCGCGGATCGTCATCACCAATCTGGAACTTGGTGCGATTGGCGGTGTGGGAGCAGAGGTAAGAACAGCTGTCCTCAGGGACCCCCCGTGACTCTTTGAACGCAGCAATAAGCCCATCGGATAAACCAGCTAACACCGTATAGGAGTTCTAAAGGCAGAAGAGAATTAAACATTTTTTTCATAGAACCATAGAATAATTGAGTTGTAAGGGTCCTAGAAGGCCATGGAGTCCAACCTCTTGCTCAAGGCAGAAATCCAAGTTAAAGCAGATCAGAAAGAGGGTGGTCCAATTTTCTCTTGAATGCCCCCCAGCGCTAGAGTGCTCCCAAGGCAGTTGGTTCCATCATTGTATTGCTCTAACAGCTAAGAGGTTTTTCATGATATTCAGCCTAAATCTGGTTTCCCGGAGTGCTCGCCACCTCCTGAGGTCACCGGTTCCCTTGTCGTACTATGATACTTTTGCAGCCAGCTAGAAGTCTACTCAAACTTCCTGTAGTATTACTAGGTAAACTATCAAAATCTCACTCTCTTACATTTTGCTAGGGCAATTTCCGCTACTCTAATTAGACATACGGACATTCATTACGAGCTGTTCCCAGGGAACACCACTAAAGGTCCAACGAGGTTTCTCCTTGCACAATTTCCATATTGGCTGCTGTTCCCATCATATCAAAAGCTGCACAGAATGTAGATTACTTTCTTAGCCTAGCTCATTTAGCCAGCCCACAACTAAATAATACGGCATTTATGGCTAATTACGGTTATTATGCAAGCAACGCATACGCACTGGAGGGAAGGAGTCACACAGAAATGGCCAGAAATCATAAAAGAGTAATTAATGGTCAGGTGGAGCATTTTCAAAGCCAGAGCTAATATATACCTATAAGGTATGGTTATTCCACTTTTTCCACAAGTGAAACTAAGGGTGCTATTTCTGCTATTGCTACCGCAAGCTTGATAACATTCAAGTCATCTCAGCAGAGCTTTCTAAAACTAGTGGAAAGCAAATAAAAAAAATCTTTCCATAGATGTGCAAAGCATTCAGTCCGCCTGCAGTGAACTCTGCTTACCTTTTTCACAATAGGTACAGCAAGAAAACAAGTCACCACCGATGGTGTGTCTACACCTTTTTGAGGAACCTTCAGAGGACACATGCCTTGTAAACTGTAAACATAAATCTTCTGGTCCTGTACGAGAGAAAGAGAGAGAGAGAGAGAGAGAGAAGAAACCATATTTCTGTAATTACATTCATTCTGCCTTGAATGGAGGGAAATGAGCAGCAAGAAACACAGAAAACACATATATAAAGACTGCCAAAACTAGAGAACCATTTAGTGTGATGGCTTTCTTGACACACCATGGGGTGTCCAAAGAAAAACAGTTCTTCAGACGCCCCAACATCTGGCTCTTGTCCACAAACCACTTAAAACGTTAACTGCCTACAGACTTAATAACCCACATTGTAGGGGAAATATCAGCGCAGAACAGCCATAAAGGAAACAGCAGTTCTGATTTTTCACGGTCTCCACAAACGGAAATATTTTTGTGATTCACCCCTCCCTTTGTTGGGGAGCGTCGAACCCACCGCTCTGTCTCTCGTTTCTGTGCCCACCCGGAGGTTAAGCGCTCAAAGGAAAGCCAGGCCATGGGATTCAAGCCACACAGGGCTGGCAGCTCTGCATGCAGAAGTGAAGGCGAAGACTCGGTAGACTTGAGTTCAAATCCCCCTTTGGCCACTATGCTCACTGGATCACGGTTGCTCAGGCTGACCTACCCCGAAGGACTTTTGGGATGATAAAAGGGGGAAGAGGAGGGCAGGTGGGTGCACTGCCTTGAGCTTATTGGAGGAAATACACCTCCTTTTAGGAGGAAGAGAAATGTACATTTACCGATGATAAAAGGGGGAAGAGGAGGGCAGGTGGGTGCACTGCCTTGAGCTTATTGGAGGAAAAGCTGGATGTGAACGCAATGAATCATTCAATAGCGAGTGATGCTGCCAGCAAGGCTGTTGGCTTGCCCTCAGTCCTTCCTCCACCTCACAATGGCTCCCATTCCCTCTCCTGCCCCTCACTCCATGACTACTCCCAACATCCATGGGGGGATCACCAAGCGCGAACACCTCCTCAGTGTTGCTCATTACTCAGCCCTGGTGGGTGAGCAGCACCCCATCTTCTCTTCCTCCACAGGCATTGCTTGGGCTTCTCTGTCTGCCCCACCTCTAGCTGATGAACAAGAAGGGCCTACGTTGGCCACTCTCTCCAGCTTCCTGGAAGGGGCCTTCCGAGATGCAAACAACCCCCAAAGTCACTCCGTGTGCTGGGCAACCAACCAGAAAGATTCATTTCCTGTTATACTTCTAAATTCTCCCGATTAACAGACCAACTCCACAGCATGCACCCAGTAAGCAGAAGTCGCGTGAAGAGCCACGCGTGCCACTGAACAGAAGGAGGCCTCTTAGTTCCAATGCATGAATGCTTTGGAGAAGAAATACCTCCGTGGCCGTCCATAGGGAGCTCTGGACTTTCATCTGGCAGCACAGCTTCATTCCGGGGCAGCTCATCCTCGAAACTTCGACGAGTCCTTTCTCGGTATTCACGACCGTGTAATTTCTGCAATACGGAAAAAGGACTCCTTGAAACAGCTGCCCCAGGGGCAAACCAGAGTCTGTGAGATGCAGAGGAGGAAAACGGCTGGCTTTTTGCGGCATCCCATTTTTCCTAAGGCCACAGGACCGACTGCAGTTGGTACCATGCAGTGGCACCTACGTAGCTTCCTTCTGAATGATGCAAGGATAAAAACTCACCCAGTTTGGCAGCAGAAGGTGGGAAACATTCTTTAAGGAAGAGGAAAATATAGCCTGCTCGAGATGGCTCTTTAGATGGTCAGACTAGAACAAGGGACAGCCAGCTTCCTGCTCTGCCCAGGCTATATAAGGGCTATAAATACAGTATGACCACAGTACCTGTAAGGGATTTGTTCCAAGTTCCCCTACGGATGCCGAAAAACACAGAAGTATTGAACCTTACCACTAAAGAATTGATGCTTTTGAATTATGGTGCTGGAGGAGGCTCTTGAGAGTCCCCTGGACTGCAAGGAGAACAAGCCTATCCATTTTGAAGGAAATCAACCCTGAGTGCTCACTGGAAGGACAGATCCTGAAGCTGAGGCTCCAAGACTTTGGCCATCTCATGAGAAGAGAAGACTCTCTGGAAAAGACCCTGATGTCGGGAAAGTGTGAAGGCTAGAGGACAAGGGGACGGCAGAGGACGAGATGGTTGGACAGGGTCACCGAAGCGACCAACATGAATTTGACCCAACTCTGGGAGGCAGTGGAAGACAGGAGGGCCTGGTGTGCTCTGGTCCATGGGGTCACGAAGAGTCAGACACGACTTAACGACTAAACAACAACAATTGAGCCTTATACATTGTATGTCTCTGGGTCCCTCCAGTGGCCAGTTCTAGTAAATACACTCTGGAAGCACATATGTCTGGGCTTTTTGATTTTGTTTTTTCATGCAACGGATAAGCGAATCAGCAGATACTGAACCCATGTATCCTGTATAATCCTTCTCTCTCTGTCTTTAAAGCCCTTTACTACATTCTTCTACTCCCCTTCTCCTCAAGGCTGGCCAGTCAAAATCAACATCAAAAATAGGCAATCCAGGTTGGTGGTCCTTTTTTTCCTGAATCAAATGTAACCCCCCTTGCCTCAGAAATGGAACCAAAATACCCTGTTCCACAGAGGTTGGATCCACAGGCTCTCAAATGCTGTATCATCAACGGTCACAGACTCAACAGAAGGACTTTAGACGGGGCCGGATTCAACTTCAGTGTTCAATTTGTAAAGTGAGAATGGCAGTAAAAGTAGAAGTTTGGAAAGTTACCCTTAGTGTTTGAGCGTCTAATGTAAGTGAGCATTCCATATAACCATGGAGCATAAGGGATGTTGAGAAACGTTGTTGAGGTTGTATCAAAAATGACAAAGGGGATTAAAACAACAACAACAACACAAGCAGTGACATACAAACCTGGTGTCTTCCTTCCCATCCCAGAATACCACAGTGTACTCCTGCCCTTGAGACCCGAAGAAGGATGATTGTTTCCCACACGGTAGCAGGTACATGAAGGTAGCAAAAGTTGGGTCTTTCATCCGCCGTACCACGGAGGAAGCCAGAGGCCGCTGGGTGAGAGAGAGAAAGGAGAACGTGAGAAGGGCCCTATCCTGTTTTCTTTCAAACTTCCCTACAGATGGACTTCTTGACCAACGGCGTCAAGAACCATCACCATTTTGGAACCACAGAAGCGTTTGTGGGTGGGGAGGAAGCACTTCTTTATCTAGTACATTTGAAAGCAATAATAGGAATGTCGGCATGACCAAGCTTCAGCTCAGAGCTTGTAGAAGTCTGGGTTTTCAGATTTCTTGGCACTATATATGTCTTAATTCTCTATTCTGGGAGTTCTGTCTGAGAGACAGCCACCTAAATGTGGCTCACCTGAGAGAAAGGCCTCAACTGGAAGGCTGTGAGGGTGAGCTAGGCCTAGCTGCACTCAAGCTTCCTCTTCCTGCCCCAATGCTAGCTGGGAGACTTTCTTTCTGAACACGATACTTGTGTGGAGCTTGGCCTACCTAAGCCACAAAGGCCTTGCCGTTGAGGCCCTTCCCCCAGGTGAGCGACATTTAGGTGCCTGTAAAGCATGGGGTCACGAAGAGTCGGACACAACTAAACGACTAAACAACAACAAAGCATCTGCCTGTCAGACACAAGTCCCAGAAGGGAGAACGAGGGGATCTGCAGTCCAAGAAATCTAAAAAACGCAACTCGAGTTCTAAACAAGCTTCTAGAAAGAATGCCTATGAGTCAGTCCACGAAGACAGCAGCGGTGTACCAAAGCAAGAGCAAAAGTAATGACATATCCCACATCACATACTATGGACATCGAGTCCCAAATAATGGACCCCCAAGCTTCAAAGCTTCAGAGACAACAGGGTTCTTGGGCAACCGCTGTGGTCTTTACTCCAACCATACTTATAGGCTTCCCAGAATGATCCGGTGGTGTCCACTGTCTGATATAGGACCCTAGTGTTGAAAAACTTTGAGGCTAAGCCCAAGGAGTTCTGCTGAATTTCTTCAAATCAGAGCAAGACCCATAAGGAGGCCGTGTCCATGCTGAGTCCCACCCCCCGCAAACTTCCTTGTACCTTCTCCGGCTTTGTGTCCCAACATTCCCTCATGAGGTCCTGCATTCGATGGAACTGCACCTCTTCCGGCTGACCCAGAACAGGCCGGATCCCTTTGGAAAGCTTCTTGGAGATCTGAAGTTGGTGTTGTCCAAGCACCGGGCGCTGACCCGACATCAGCTCATAGAGGACCATTCCATAGGAAAACATGTCAACCTAAAGATAACCAGAGGAGGTTTCCATGTATGTTACAGATCTCACTTCTTCTACGTGTTGCCTTTTCTGCTTCCAGCGTTTGGAAACGCCCGAGAGCAGGCAAACCCAGTGAACCAATACGTCTTAAGAGGGAGATTCCAGAAAGACTGCAGAAGGGGCTTCTTAACCCCATTTAAAACGGAATCAAATCTAAATTGGAAACCAGAAACAATTTTATTTAAACCAAAATCAATTTTGCATCCTTCAGAGCAGACTTGCAAAAAGAGGGAATCACAACTCTTTTAAGGTACAGCAGTGGAAGACAGGAGGGCCTGGCGTGCTCGGGTCCATGGGGTCATGAAGAGTCGGACGTAACTTAACGACTAAACAACAAAAAGATCCTTGTATCCGCGAGGACTGTTCCATCCCCCTAGCTCCCCCTAGTGACCAGTTCTGATAACATCATCTTTAGAAATATATATTTCTAGGATTTTTCTTTTAATATTTTCAGATGGTGGATAAGTGAATCCATGCATGCTGACTCCGCGGATAAGGGGGTCCTGCTGTACTATATCGGTTGCTCAGTGTGAATAAATTGATACTGTTGCATTGCCAGAACAGAGCCAACCATTTGGCATCCACTGAATCACAATCTGAGAAGGGACTTTGTGTTATGAATTATCCTCCGGCTGAAACAGCAGGACTCTGAACTTAAGTGACAAAAGTCATGGCTCGGGTTAATACCAAGAAAGACACAATCAGGGAGGCTTGCCTAAGGTCTGAATGCAAACCTCTGGAGGCAACGATGTTCAGAATTACCTTTTCATCATAGACGATGCGAGGCCGAATCTCTGGGGCTTGGTAGCCAGGCGTGCCTTCCACTCCCAGCGCTCCTTCGTGAAAGGACTGCCGAGAAATCCCGTAGTCCGACAACTTGATATTGATGCTCTCCTTCACATCTAGGGACCACACTAGGATATTGTCTGATTTGAGGTCACAGAAGATGATGCTCTTCTTATGGAGGTAAGCCAGCCCAGCTACTATCTGGTAGGCCATCTTCAGGGTCAACATGGGTCCTAGCGGAACGAAAGACGCCCCTGTAGAAGGAGAGAATGGAGAAAATCCTAAACGGTTTGGGACCTCGATACCTGGCAGATCGTCTTCTCCCACCCAGATCTACCCGAATCACCCGACACAGCCAGCAGGGACGGCTGAGGGGGTCTGACGCTGAGGGAGGCCCGGAAGGAAAAAAAACAAGAAATTGGGTCTTCTCGGTGGTGGCCCCTCGGCTGTGGAACACCCTCCCCACCGAAATTCGGCTGGCACCCTCGCTGGGCGTCTTCAAAAGCCAGCTGAAAACTTGGCTATTCAAGCAGGCCTTCCCTTCAGTCAATGAAGTCATTCTTATTTCTTATTTCTCTTCTTTTATTCTTGCCATCTTGGGACTGTTTGCTTTAAGTTAATTGTTAAAATTGTAAATTTACGATATTATATTAATTGGCGTTTTGTTTTTTTAATGTAAACCTGTGTATATTTTAAATTGTTTTTATCTTTTATGTTGTGAGCCGCCCAGAGTAGACTATGGACAGCATATAAATACAATAAACAAACAAACAAACAAATAAATAAAATGGCATTTTAGTTTGGAAAAAGGTGCCCGGAGTGCCATCGTTTGGGGAAGGGAAAGGTGGCTGACACATCCTATAATTAAGAGCTCTCCTCCCACAAGAGACCGGTCAAGCTCCTTCCCATGGATCAATTCCATGAAATGGCAGGGAGAAGATCGCCGGAATTCACCTTTGGAGTTCTCCGAAAGCACCGTCGTGAGGCTCCCCAAAGGAGCCAGCTCCAAGGCGAAGCAGAGCGGGTGGATGCTAATCCCGATCAAGGAGACGATGCACGGATGCTGCAGGGAGTGGAGCATGCTGGCCTCCTGCCGGAACTCGGAGAAGTTCTTCATGGCATCCATGGCCCGCAGGTGCCTCAGCATCGTGTCTAGGCAGAGAAAACAATGCACTGCCGTGAGCCATTTAACGCCGCAGGATCCTGGCACGCCTACACACAAGACCGTCCCTGCTGGGCCAGATCAAAAGCCTATTCTGTCCAGCATCCTGTTTCTAATGGGGGCCAGCCAGAGGCTTCTGGGAAGGCCAACCGCAAAAGGTCAACGCTCACCATTTTTGCAGCATGATGATAGACGAGGCTCGGGAGGTGGGTGGAGAGGATAAGAGCTCTCTCTCCTACCTCGTGTTGTCCGTCTCTAGCCCTACATTGGTCAAAGGCTGGCATAAAGCCAAGCATCCTCTTTTTTTAACGAGGAGGGCTGGCTTCCACACAGACATCCCCTTCTCCCATCATCCCATCCCCATGCACAAAATGAGCTCTACGGCTCGCTAGACTGTAAAAGTCAATGTTTAAGTTTCAAAATCTATTTAAACAGGAGCCTCCTGTACTCAAGTGTGGGAGTGTGCCTCCTTGTACACGTGGAGGGCAAAATTAAGAAGAGGGAAGGGTCTCCCCCCACCCACCCACCTCAAATAAGGAGCACCATACCCGTCGCTGAACAAGCCGAGCTCTTGCATTTTTTTATGTGAAATCGCTTCACAGCCACCAGTTTTCCTTGATATTGTGCCTGATATATAACCGTTCCACTGCCCCCTTGGCCGAGGACATTGTTTTCATTTTCAGTGTATTCCAGTTTGCTGTTATCCAAAAATAATCTGCCATGCAGGACAGGGAGGGGAAAAGAAAGAGAGAAAGAGAGGAGATTTATTTATAACGAACCAAGGTGTACATGCTATGTTACGTTACGTGCAAGGGACCGGAGCGGGCAATGCCAGTCAAAGAGACATAAGGACTTTAAGATCCCTAATTTCTTTCTCCTGCATCTTCAGGAACCAACAGGACGTGTTGTCCACAATCATAACAGGGCTCTACTTGATGGCTAGTGCAAACTGGGTATGTTTAGCTTTCAGTAAAGAAGACTAAGGGAAGACATGATAGCACTTTTCAGATACTTGAAAGGCTGTCATGCATTCCTGACACCTACAAAACCATTCCTGACACCTACAAAACGATCATTTTGGAGAGAAGATTCTTTCCAAATCAGCTCTGATTTGTGAATCAACAGCCTATAGCAGGGGTTTGGAATGTCTGGACCTCTGAAATCCCGCCAAATTATTTTGGCACAAAAAGAACACCAGCAAATGTTTGGTTTCGCCTCAGACAAGAGGTAGGGACCCCACACCTTGTTTTGCCCTCCACAACCCTGAAAAGGGGTTTCATCAAACTAAAAATGTGCTTATTGATTACATCTGGTTTTTAGCTCAGCTTTTAGGGACCTGTTGGAATGTCTGGACCTCTGAAATCCCGCCAAATTATTTTGGCACAAAAAGAACACCAGCAAATGTTTGGTTTCGCCTCAGACAAGAGGTAGGGACCCCACACCTTGTTTTGCCCTCCACAACCCTGAAAAGGGGTTTCATCAAACTAAAAATGTGCTTATTGATTACATCTGGTTTTTAGCTCAGCTTTTAGGGACCTGCCTCCCTTCTCTCCAGTTCAGTTCACTAACCATGACCTCATGAAATGGAGAGTGCTCCAACGCTGGAGACATTCAAGAGAAAACTATACAGCCGTCTGTCAGATCTACTTGGAAGGGGTCTGTAAGGTCACTGATTTGGATTCCTGCTTTGAGCAGAAATCCAAATCAATGGGCTTTATAGGCCCCTTCCGACTCAATGATTCTATGGGTTCTACGAAATACCACCTGTTTCACATCTTATGAATGAACTCAAAGCCAAGGTGAACCATCAGCCATCTTACCTCGTATTCTCCCTGCCAGCACCAGCACCACTTCAAACTGCAGAGATGGGTTTCATATTCCAATTCCCCTCCTACATAAAAACCATTCTTGACACCTACAAAACGATCGTTTTGGAGAGAAGATTCTTTCCAAATCTGCTCTGATTTGTGAATCAGCAGCCTATAGCAGGGGTTTGGAATGTCTGGACCTCTGAAATCCCGCCAAATTATTTTGGCACAAAAAGAACACCAGCAAATGTTTGGTTTCGCCTCAAACAAGAGGTAAGGACCCCACATCTTGTTTTGCTCTCCACAACCCCGAAAAGGGGTTTCATGAAACTAAAAATGCACTTATTGACTACATCTCGTTTTGGTTTTTAGCTCAGCTTTTAGGGACCTGCCTCCCTTCTCTCCAGTTCGCTGGTTTCATGCACTCCATCTTCAAGTTACAGAAAGCCAGATTTCGACTGAATATCAAGAAAAACTTCCTAACTGTTAGAGCAGTACGACAATGGAACCAATGACCTCAAGAGGTGATGAGTGCTCCAACACTGGGGGGATTCAAGATAAACGTAAGGCAACCACTTGGCAGATACCCTTTGACTTGTATTCCTGCATTGAGCAAGGGGTTGGACTTGATGGCCTTATAGGGCCCTTCCTACTTCACTATTCTATGATCCATCCATCCATCCATCCATCCATCCATCCATCCATCCATCCATCCATCCATCCATCCATCCATCCATCCATCCATCCATCCATCCATCCATCCATCCATCCATCCATCCAAGACATTACTATTACCTGGCCGGAAAATCGGTCATGAATAGCTCAGGAACCAGCTCCTGTAAAGGCACAGGTATGTCAGGGTGGTGAGCACAAGTGATACTGTCCAGCTCAATAGCAGTGAGGACGCAATCCTCCAGGTTGAAGTACTGAAGGTCTTCTGTTTTCTGGCCATCTTTCCCTTTCTGCATTTTTGGGGTTGAGCAGACCGGGCAAGGGACGTACTGCTCCATCAACAGAGTACCGTCGCTCTCGGTGGCTGTGAGCGCTGTGGAGGGATCGAGGGAAGTGGTACAAACTTCAAAAGATACAGACTCTGTCCAAACTGTGAAAAATGTGCCCCTGCACCAGCCATTTTACTTCATGCAGGTACAAAACTAGGAAAGAGGTGTGCTTTTACTGTACGGGCCGGATCTGGCTGCGGAGACAGAAGTTGGGAGTTCGAATTCCCCGCTGGGCCTCCAGAGAGAAGAGCCAGCCTGGGTGGCCTTGGGCCAGCTGCCACAGTCCTACGGCTCCCCCTAGAGGAAGGGAAGGGTCAACCGCTTCTGAGAATGCTCTAGCTGGAAAACTCTGAAAAGAGTTGCCATAAGTCAGAACTGACTTGACAGCACACGACTTGAGGGTCTTTATAGGCCCCTTCCAACTCCCATTATTCTATGATTTTATTCTAGAACCCCACCCAGCATCAGCATCATCCACACACTGAAACCCATTTTGAAACCAAGGGGATCCACACATGCCTACTGCTAGACCTACTGCTTGAAGGAGAAGCCCTAAGGATTGGAGGGGCCGCAATCCTCAGGGACACCTAAAGTAACTTCTCGGGTCCTGGCCAATATGTCCTTACCGTAAGCAGAAATCAACAGGAACTGCTCTTACCAGGAAACCACTGATCAATCAGAGAATTGACGTGGTCGGTGATAAATGCCATCGCTGAAAAATCCCTCACGTCCGACTGGCAGATAATTTTAATGCCACCACTTTTCTTCTTCTTCCAGTTGACGTCGGAAGACTCTACGCTGCAAAGTAAAAACCCCAAAGGATTACCTCTGAAAAGCTGATGGGAAGAGTTTAATTTTTCTGTTTAGCAGCCGTCCCCCGCCCATCTTTCTGTTGAACTTTAGCTGCTTGGAATCTTACACTCCTACCATTCACTCTTCTACGAACTGCTCTGCATGTCATGCTACACCATGCGTGAAGAACTTCCTTCAGAGTGCATGAACTCCTAGATAGCTCAGTGGTTGAGATACCTGGCTCTAGAGCCAGAGTCTGGGAGTTCAATTCCCCACTGGGCCTCCTTGACAGGGGCTGAGCAAAATAATCCATAGGGTCCCTTCCAGCTCTGCAGTTCTAAGATGATTATTATCATTATTATTTCAGGGGTTGGGTGGAGTGAAAGACAAATAGGTGGGGCCACATAAATTGGCACTTTCCCCCCTTAAAAGTGCCAATTTACAGCTAGCAACAAAGCTTTTGTTGAAGAATTTAAACCTTTTACAAAGCAGTGGAAAGGGTTATACAAAAGCTGAGAAGCCATCAAACAATGGTATCAAGGGGGAAGCGGGCGTTGCTCCTTTGGTGAAGCCACCAAAGCCTAGAGTTGTCCCCATCAAGTCTACTAGCAATTCTCTACCCCCCCTTTCTGTTTCTGTTCCTGGGGCTTTCTTGGCAAAGATACCGGAGTGGCTTGTCAGTTCCAGCTCCAGGTGGATGGTGTTTAGTCCGAACTCTCCACCATGACCGGTCCGTCTTGGGTGACCCTGCAAGGCATAGCCCATAGCTTCTCTGAATTACTCAAGCCCCTTTGCCACAACAAGGCAGCAATCCATGAAGGGATTGCTGAAGACAGGAGGGCCTGGCATGTTCTGGTCCATGGGGTCACGAACAGTCGGACACGACTTAATGACTAAACAACAACACCCCCTTTCTGCTTCTGGTTTTCCACAGCCATCGCAGCAGGTGAAGAAAGAACAGGTTGTGTTCCTTCCATCCATCCCTACTGGGCCTCAACTGTTACCTCAGGTAGCCTCCATCGAAGGTGACAAACAAGCCTTCTTGCCAATAAACGGTGTGGTTTCTTTTAACCCGGAACGTGCTGCATCGGTTCCGCTGCGTACCCGTGAAGCTGTAGATGACGGCTCGTCGGTTCCTGCTCTTGGCATTCTTCTTGTTTTCAAAGAACTGGAATTGAGGGGGAGAACGGGCGGATGAGATGAACGCAAGATGACAAAAGACCTAACTTGTCCAATATTCCGCTCACATGGCGGGACACCAGACGCAGAAACTTTCATTTGAGCTTTGCTAGTTAAGACTGCGCATGAATCCCTCAACCTGCTATGGTGGCCAATCCAGGGTTTTGGAAACCATCCCGATTCGGTGAGATTTCTTTACCCTCTTGATACAATTTTTAAGCCTCCCGTTGTTGTCTTCTGGGAAATCGAAACCGCAATCACTTGCTCTTTCTTTTCTTTGCAGTGATGTGCGCAAAAGCTGGAGACATAACATGCAAAACGGGTTAATTTGTAACTTACCTGGACGTCCATTTCCGCCAGACTAATGAGCATCCGGGCTATAAATCGTTGCCAAAAGCCAACGGGGACGAAGCTCATCTTGAATACCCTCTGGATGGTGTTTGTCGTCTGGTGGCGTAAGTCATGGATGTCAAGAGCTGGCTTGGCGGGAAGCAAATGGGGCAGAAGGTAGCTGAAAGAGAATCAGACGTTCAGATCATGGCTTCCCAAATCTTCCAAAGCCACAGAAATGACTTGGCAACCAGACCAACCAGCTTGGTTTCATTGTCAGTGGTATATCCCCAAATCATATACATAGTAGAAGCTTTGCAGAAAGATGGGAGGTTTAAAATGCCTTTAAAAATGGGAGAGAAAGGAACGCACAAAGAAAAAGGCGCACAAAGAACAGACTCAGCTTAAAAGCTCCTCTGTTACACAAGGTTTGGAGTGTAAAATAACAACACTGGTGTGCATAACAAAACCCAAAACAAACCCCCTCTACCCCACTCCCAAAAAATTACAAACAGATGTTGCCAGATTTCTTGATTTCCTTTAAGTCCAGAAACATCTCAAGAATACCTTCCGGGCAAAAATATGTTGGAAGATGATGTCCTAATGACCATAAAGGGATTTCACCGGATCCTTGCCACCGTATGTGCTGTTTACCAACTGGAGCTGAATGTCTACTCCATATGGGAGCCTGGCAGAAGATGAGCAAGCCATTGTCCTCAGAAAACCCTTGAGACTTTGAATCTCAGATACCATCTTTAATATAAAACACTCTGAAAGTAATAGGTCTTTGTGATGAATACTCCTTTTTTACCAAGGTTCTGGATCCCGCAAGGAGAAGGAGAGCCAGCCAGATGCTAAGAGGAAAATCACTCACTGAAAAACAGAATCTGAACCTTTCTGGCTCTCAAATTACCCTTTCTGTTGGAATTTTACTTACAACCTCGCATGCTGTTTGTAATTTGAATGAGTGGGAGGGACTTTCCTGGGCTAGGGTGATTGTCTATCAACCTAGCATCAACTAATTGTTTGATTCAAAGAGAGCCCTGCCTCTCTGCTAAGAGGAAAATCACTCACTGAAAAACAGAATCTGAACCTTTCTGGCTCTCAAATTACCCTTTCTGTTGGAATTTTACTTACAACCTCGCATGCTGTTTGTAATTTGAATGAGTGGGAGGGACTTTCCTGGGCTAGGGTGATTGTCTATCAACCTAGCATCAACTAATTGTTTGATTCAAAGAGAGCCCTGCCTCTCTGCTGAGTGTTCTTCTATCAACCCAGCATCAACTAATTGTTTGATTCAAAGACAGCCCTGCCTCTCTGCTGAGTGTTCTGTCCTTCTCTTTCATTTGTTGGTGAAACTTGTTTTGTTGATGTTGATCTGTCTGGTTGGTTGCAAGTATGTGTGCAGTAAAGGAAGCGTTAAGTCTGTAATTTCAAGAAACTGTAAGTAAAAAGCGTTAAGTCTGTAATTTAAAGAAACTGTAAGTAAGGAAACCTTTTTTATTCTTTCTCCTGCAAATGTCTTAAAAGTAAGTTACTGAGAGTTTAAGTGCCAGTTAATGAGAAAGGGGGAACTTAAAATATACTGTATTTTTTCATCTATAAGACCATACATTTGTCTAAAATCTTTAGAATAAAAATTGAGGGCCGTCTTATACATGGGGGTGTCTTATACACAGAAAAATATGGTATTCTCTGTGGGTCTCTGTATTTCTACTAAGTAGAAACTGTCCAGCTTAAGCAGAAATTCAACATTATGCAACATCTCCTCTTTTCCTGATGCCAGACTCTGAAAAGCAGGGGTTATCCACTGGCAACTCCACTGTCTATGTTATGCAACTGCTGCTACAAAGTTGACACTCTTACAGAGTGGGTTGGATGGGGTTATATAAGTCAGGGGTGCAGTCTTTTGATTTGTACAGAGGAAGTCCCAGACTGGCATCGCTTGCTAAAAAGATTGGGTAGAAGGTGACAGGAGAGACCATTTGGTTACGAGCCGAGGGAGCATCTTTAAAGAAGAAAAAGCTGGTCTAACATGGGTAACTCACCATCCAGCTTTAGACATCAGAATTCAGATACTGTAGGCTACAGTTGAACCCTGTCCCCTTCATCTCAAAAATGTTAACCCACCCACTCCAAATGGTCAATTTAGAGGCAACAATTCATTTTCCCCTAAAGCAGTGGTTCCCAGCCTTGGGTCCCCAGATGTTTTTGAACAGCAACTCTCAGAAATCCTGGCCAGCACAGCGAGTGGCAAAGGCTTCTGGGAGTTTTAGTCCAAGAACATCTGGGGACCCAAGGTTGGGAACCACTGCTCTAGGACAATTCTAGGAGATATCACGTCAACTCCTTTTGAGGATCGACGAGTCTGAGCTCCCGCCTCCTGGGCAGAAACAACTGCCAGGCTCTAAACTGTGGCAGCCAAGATTGTTATATTCTTTTCAAGCACTTCTGACAGCCCAGTGAAATTTATTTGTTTGAAGTCAGGGTGGAAAGAAGCCTTCAGGAGACCAAAGGGGGAAAAAATCTTAGCAAATAGAACCTGCTCCAATATATACAGAATGAGCAAATGCAGCTGCAGGTCAGGATAAAATGATCCAAAATCTGTAATAAAACTACACGTTTCATATACCAACATCAGACGAGCAAATAACTCATTGTGAAGGTGCACATAATTTGAAACATATTGCATTTAGATGTGTGTATCTGTGTACATACCTGGGAGGGGTGTGTGTCTGTGATTAACCTGAAGGCTGCAGAGACGAGAGAGAGCGGGGTGTACGTAAGACTGCTCCCCACCCCTTTCTGCCACCAACCATGAACAAGAATAGCTTGGACACGGAGGAAACGTCTTCTTGGACATGATGGGAAGAGGGTTAAATCTAACACTGGAGGTCTCAGGATGAAACCCTTCCCCACTTCATGGCTGCTGTTTGCCTTAGCAAAGAGATTTTCTGATGCACTTTTAGAAAGTTGCTTTTTATACTCAAGAAGGAGGGTTGAAGAGATAATTCTCAACACGCATTGGAAAGCAAAGAAGAAATGATTTTTTTTTAAAAAATATAAAGGGTTTAAGGGTCTTGCTATACATTATGTGCAAGTGAACCTAATGGTGGCCAACACCATCCAATGGAATGGCGAGGGAGGATAATGAAATGCTCCCTTCCCATGACATCTCCAGACAAAGCTGCTTCCATTACATGTAGAGATGGGAATGAACTGGGTCCCCAGATGTTATTGGAGTGCAATTCCCAAAAAATCCTGGCCGGTACAGCTATTGCCAAAGGCTTCTGGACGTTTTAGTCCAAGAACATCTGGAGACCCAAGGTTGGGAACCACCGCCCTCGGCCAGCAGTTCTCAAACTGGGGTCCCCAGATGTTCTTGGACTACAACTCCCAGAAATCCTGGCCAGCATGAGTGATGGCTTCTGGGAATTCCAGTCCAGGAACATCTGGGGACCTCAGTTCGAGAACCACTCCTCTAGGCTATGGCAAACAATCATTCATACAACCTGCAGAGCACAGGTTTAGATATGCAGAATTTGCAGCCTCTTTATGAATAATGGAAGGCGAAGCAAAGGGCTTTATTCCCAGCCTCCTAGACCCTGTTTCCCCCTGCCCAAATCAGCCCCACTTCTGTTGACAATTACCAGTGTACCTGTTGTTGGCCACCGGCAAAGCTATTTCAAACTTGGCAAGGAATTGGAAATATTGTTCCTCTGTCTGCTGGGTGAACCCTGTCCCAACCAGCAGCATCCGGAGGTCCTCAGCCTTGATCACGCCGTTCTTCGCCACCGACTTTGAGCTTTTGATGTTGAAGATTCTCTGCAGACACTCCGACAACCAAACGGGGTCGAGGAAGTAGAGGTTTCTTAGGCCGTGGCTTGTATCTGGGAAGTGCAGCAGAGTGCCGGTCTCTATCAGGAAACTGATGGCTGTCAAAAAAACAAATGCACCGGGGTCAAGGCAGAGGTGCAATGGCCTGATGTGGGATGATGTGGAGAAGGAGAATGTAATTCAGAAGAGGCTAGGCTGCTTTCCAGATACCCACAAACCATGAAATCGTGTCCCACATGAAACCTGCTAGTTTTTGAGGGGCCGCAAGGTTTTATTTGGTTATTTATGGTTATCACGATTAAGATATTTAGGGTTGCCAGGCTGTGGCACTGTGAGTGATGTTAAAACTTCCCCCAAAAAATCCCCTGGTATAATGGGACCTGGATGTAGGGCTTTTCCCATCCACTTCTTCTCAACCGTCCTTTCCTACAGACACCCACACTGGCAAGCAGGATTTCAGGAGAGGAAGTGAAAGGAACGAAAAAGCTATTCAAAGGATCGGAGAAGAGAGGTAGGAGATGCAAAATGTAAAGCACACTAACATCTGGAGGTTGAGATCCAGGCATATGACTATGTCATTGGCAGGAATGTTCAAAATACCTCATGCCAATCACTTCATGAGTCCTTATGGCAAGTCTTTTTAAGGAGAAAAGCAGGATAAAATGTTAGTTAGTCAGTTAGCCAGTTAGCCAGTTAGCCAGTTGAAGAGAGGTAGGAGATGCAAAATGTAAAGCACACTAACATCTGGAGGTTGAGATCCAGGCATATGACTATGTCATTGGCAGGAATGTTCAAAATACCTCATGCCAATCACTTCATGAGTCCTTATGGCAAGTCTTTTTAAGGAGAAAAGCAGGATAAAATGTTAGTTAGTCAGTTAGCCAGTTAGCCAGTTAGCCAGTTAGTTAGTTAGTTAGTTAGTTAGTTAGTTAGTTAGTTAGTTAGTTAGTTAGTTAGTTAGTTAGTTAGCTAGCTAGCTAGCTAGCTAGCTAGTTCGTTCGTTCGTTCGTTCGTTCGTTCGTTCGTTCGTTCGTTCGTTCGTTCGTTCGTTCGTTCGTTCGTTCGTTCGTTCGTTCGTTCGTTCGTTCGTTCGTTCGTTCGTTCGTTCGTTCGTTCGTTCGTTCGTTCGTTCGTTCGTTCGTTCGTTCGTTCGTTCGTTCGTTCGTTCGTTCGTTCGTTCGTTCGTTCGTTCGTTCGTTCGTTCGTTCGTTCGTTCGTTCGTTCGTTCGTTCGTTCGTTCGTTCGTTCGTTCGTTCGTTCGTTCGTTCGTTCGTTCGTTCGTTCGTTCGTTCGTTCGTTCGTTCGTTCGTTCGTTCGTTCGTTCGTTCGTTCGTTCGTTCGTTCGTTCGTTCGTTCGTTCGTTCGTTCGTTCGTTCGTTCGTTCGTTCGTTCGTTCGTTCGTTCGTTCGTTCGTTCGTTCGTTCGTTCGTTCGTTCGTTCGTTCGTTCGTTCGTTCGTTCGTTCGTTCGTTCGTTCGTTCGTTCGTTCGTTCGTTCGTTCGTTCGTTCGTTCGTTCGTTCGTTCGTTCGTTCGTTCGTTCGTTCGTTCGTTCGTTCGTTCGTTCGTTCGTTCGTTCGTTCGTTCGTTCGTTCGTTCGTTCGTTCGTTCGTTCGTTCGTTCGTTCGTTCGTTCGTTCGTTCGTTCGTTCGTTCGTTCGTTCGTTCGTTCGTTCGTTCGTTCGTTCGTTCGTTCGTTCGTTCGTTCGTTCGTTCGTTCGTTCGTTCGTTCGTTCGTTCGTTCGTTCGTTCGTTCGTTCGTTCGTTCGTTCGTTCGTTCGTTCGTTCGTTCGTTCGTTCGTTCGTTCGTTCGTTCGTTCGTTCGTTCGTTCGTTCGTTCGTTCGTTCGTTCGTTCGTTCGTTCGTTCGTTCGTTCGTTCGTTCGTTCGTTCGTTCGTTCGTTCGTTCGTTCGTTCGTTCGTTCGTTCGTTCGTTCGTTCGTTCGTTCGTTCGTTCGTTCGTTCGTTCGTTCGTTCGTTCGTTCGTTCGTTCGTTCGTTCGTTCGTTCGTTCGTTCGTTCGTTAAAGTATTTAAGTACCCTCCCCAAAACAGGTACTCCACTTTAAAAATTAACAACAAGATGAGAAGCAGGTACAGACAGAAAAACAGGAAGTTATAACATTAACACACAACTATACAAGCTATGGTTATTATAACACCATTACATTGAAGGGCACTTAAAATCACGTCAACTTAAAAAGACAACTGCAGAGTACCAACAACCCCATTTTCAAGAGTCAGCCGGTTGCCCAAAGCTTCCCTGGATAAAAAGGCATTTGCCCATTTAGAGGGAAGAATAGAGGCCACCCTTAGCTTCCCTTAGGAAAGAGTTCTTCAGCTTGGATGTGGCTGCTCAGGTGGTTTTCTCTCGCATATCTAGCAAATATGCCTTGGAAGGTGACGGGGTTAAGAGAAGAGGTCCTCTCATAGGTCTCGAAGCCAGGGCAGATTCATGCAGGAGAACAGAGTCCTTCAGATAGCCCGGCCCCAAGTCACATCAGTTGGCATTCCTTCTTCCCCGTCCTTTTCCTCTCTACCTGTGAGATGGTGGCTAGTTTGGTCTTTGAAGCAGGAGGTTCTTGAGTAACAGCTGGCCCACACACCCACTGTGCTGCATGAGTTCCTGACATTAGGAAAGGCTCGGTACTGCTAGAAAGCCTACGGACACCCCACCCCCCCCAAGGATACCAGACGTACTGCCTTCTGAGAAGTTACGACATATGGAGGCATACCAGACTGCAGGTCTTCGTAGTCCTTGATGTCATTGCCTGGAGTTCTCTCTATGATCTGCTCTATCTCGCTGTCTGTCAGATACTGGACGTCGTCAATCTGGCTTCTTCTCTGTTGCTCAGCTATGATGGAGGCTTGGAGGCTCAAGTAACTTCTTGGTATCTGTTAAGTGACACTAAAAATCAGTGGGTTCATCAGAAGCAGTGGCTCTCTCCACGTTTCTACATCATAGGGGTAATACTGTGGTTGTTGAGAACAAAGAAGGACTTGGATCGGAGTCTGGAAAAGTTACTTTTTTGGGATGTGACTCTCAGAATTCACGAACTGCAGTGGGATCATGCTGACCGGAGAAGTGTGCGAGCTATGAGGCAAAAAAAAGTAACTTCTCCAAGTGCTTAACATGATAGAAGTTTAAATAAGCATGGATGGCTTGCAGAAGACAGAACAGAGAAATTTGTCTCTGGAGTTACGATACTGGAGTATCTCCCCCCCAGATTTCCCGCCAGCACAGTCCCTTGCTTAACTCTCCAAAACCTGGAATTCTGGGACCTGTAGTTTTAAAATGTAAATTTCCAAAGCTGTGCAATGGGATTGCTGGGTATTTTACACGATGGATGCCGGCACTGTACCTTTGAACAGTGAACGTTCAGATAAAAGGAAAAAACCATTGTATATTCTGTCTGTGTAATCCTTCGCCCCCCCCCAAAAAAAAAAACATCTAACGAGATAGCCATCACTATCTACTTCAAAGTGAGGTCACAGTACGATAGCATCCCAAACAGCTTGGCGTCATAGAAACAGAACTGAGATGGTTTCTAACTAGGTGGATGAAAAGGGTCAAAACTGGAGAAGCTGATCACCATTCATTTGCTCCCCAAATTCAATCAAAACCTTTCCTATGTCAGATTACAGAAGAAATTAAACTACAGTCCTTGTCCCATTTAGAAGTAACTCACCCATCAAACACATCCACGGATGCATCCTGTATAGCAGTGGTCCTCAACCTTGGGCCTCCAGATGTTCTTGGACTTCAACTCCTGGAAATCCTGGCTAGCAAAAGTGGTGGTGAAGGCTTCTGGGAGTTGTAGTCCAAGAACATCTGGAGGCCCAAGGTTGGGGACCACTGCACTGCTGTACACAGGGCATGCCCCACCCCAACATCCTCATGTTTGCACATACAGGCTGGGGGGATCGTTACTTCTGAACAGCCCCTGTGTATTTTCTAAGAGCTGCAAAATACATCAGCCAAGGGGAAAGCTTCCCACCAAAGATACGCACCAATCTCCCAACAAGCCTCTGGGGGCCAATGGAACTTCCTGCATCTTTCACATTAGAAGCGACATGGTAAATCAGCTGCCGCAGCCCGTCCAAACCTTCTAGGGTTTTACACGAGAGTTCGCTGCAATGGAATCAGAGAGAGAGAGAGAGAGAGAGAGAGAGACCTTTCTTAATGCTCAGCAGAAGAGCTGTTTCTTTGGGTTGGCATCTTGATTGTTAAATCACCCTGAATCCCCCAGCAGCTCCTCCTGGCCCCTATGTACAGAGGAATTTGTGTGTGGCTTGTCTTTCCTCATCGATACACGAGGAAGAGATACCTCCAACATGCCTATGCTCAACGGGTGTAAAATGTAGCATTGAGGACGCTGGTGGGCTCCTGCACAAAAGGATTCTTTTATACTTGATGGCAAGGCCTGCATTAAGTCACCGTTTTTTTTTCTGGCCATAAGACAAAGTGTATTTTAGAGCAGGACTGTAAATTCCTAACTGTCTCATCCTTGAGTAGGAGTGCAAGGAACCACGAAATGAAGGAAAAATTCTACTCTAAAGCCTCAACAACTAAGGTGCAGGATAATCCCATACCAGCTCTGTTTGTGCGCAGCCGTCTGAGGAGAGGCTTGTGGATTGAGAACTTTGGGGAAACTATCAAGTTTCTCCTGGTTTCGGTTGCCTGCTATGTAGAAGGAGCCTTCTTCATGATTTAGCCACAAAGCCTGGTTTGTCATCCTTCCTCACACACTCTCCAGGGTAAAAGGGAGGGAAATCAGAAGGAAATCGCTTCAAAAAAGATATTGGCCCACCCTGATGCAACTGAAGAAAAGAGGACTTTGGTCTGAAGTCCACAAAAGGACGTCAACCCCGAATCACAAGCTGCCTACCTCAGGCTCTGACTCCAAAGGATCAGTATCAACTCTGTCAGTTGTAGGTGAAAGATGGTGAATGAGAGAAATTGCTCAAGATGGACTGGAGTCAACTGGGAGAAACCGTTACAGTGTTCCCTAACTGAGAGGAAGTTCATGAAAAGTTGGAGATAGGAGTTGAAAGGAAGGAGAATGAGGGAGCTGAGTGTCCTTTAGAAGCCTACGAAAGACGCTTCGGTGGTGTTTGAAGAGAAACAGCTTGTAGCTGAATCTCTCTCAGAGATGGATGGATACACAAGTCTGGTTTGCTGAGAATCTGGTGGTTACTGGAGTCACAAAGGAATGAGGAAAGTTTTGAGAGAGAGAGAGATGCACAAGTCTTGTTTTGTGGAAACTAAACTAAAACAAGAACTGAGTTACAAAAGGAAAAGGAGCATAGTCGAAGTACTGTGATGGTGGGCACCATGATATAAACATTAGCACCACAGAAAGCAAAAATACATGTGCTGAGCCTGCTGTGACATGGGGGCCTTTGAAAGACAATCCATGGAAGGAGAGGGCTTGTTGATATGAAATCCTGCCAAACTCAACTCATCCATATGTATTAGATGGGTTCAAAAATAAAACAAAACCCTACTGCAGGGGGGGAAAAGCATGGGCCGCTGAGATGCTAAGACTTCAGTAGGAGAGGATGACTTAGTGGACCCGCATGACTGAAAACAAGAAAAAAATATAATACTCTAATCCCATGCAGGAAACCAGCAAAATGAGAAAACTGGCATGTCAAGAAGAAGGCTTCTCTAGAACCCTTCTCTCTACACTTCCACTGGAAACAGCTAGCTTGAGTTTCAATATAGGTTTTGTCCTCACTTCACATTCTGAAAATATGCTCTGCAGATAATACATTCTCTGGGTGAAGTGATACTTTACTCACTGCAAATGTTTCATGGTGATATCTGGGAAGCCAGTGGCTCTTGAACCTGAAGGAGAGCGACAGATGGCTAGGACGTAGGCTCTCAAGGTGGCAATCCTCTCGGTACGGAACTTGGTGTCGATCAAGTCAAGGTGGGTCCCAACCACCAGGACGACAGAATTTGGTGCTTTGGCCTGAAAAGAGAGGGTGTCTGCTATTCAATTATAGCAATTACGAATTTCTTATCAGTAGGGTTTGGTTGGTTGGTTGGTTGGTTGGTTGGTTGGTTGGTTGGTTGGTTGGCAACCACCAGGACGACAGAATTTGGTGCTTTGGCCTGAAAAGAGAGGGTGTCTGCTATTCAATTATAGCAATTATGAATTTCTTATCAGTAGAGTTTGGTTGGTTGGTTGGTTGGCTGGCTGGCTAGTTTATTTATTTAATTTCTTCACCGCACCAATTAATGCTAAACTCTACTCTGGGTGGTTTACATCCAGAGAGAAACAGCAAAAAATAAAATATAGCTAAATAACCTAAGAAACACACACCACATATAATCACATTAAGCAACCATTTAAAAAAAAATCAATGGATCTCCATTCTCTTCAATGGGACATATTCTCACAAAAGTATATACACAAGACAGGAGGTTTAGTTGATTAGCTAGTTAGATTAATTGCTTGAAAAAAAATAAACCAATCAGCCAAAAAATATCTTTGATTGCTCAGACAGGAGTGGTTGCTATTGTGTTTTTCTTAATACTATTAAAATTGAGAGAAGCTATTAAAAACTGCAGATGGCATGTGTCATCTTATGTTGTGTGTGTGAGAAGGGATTTGTTCTCGGCAAGGGGATAGTCAAGGATAAACAAATGTGAAACATAATCCAGGCAAAAGGCTGAGTGTCAAGGCAGACGGAGGTCTGGGCTGTTTTTGCTGTGTTGCATTCACCTTGAAAACCCAGATCTGTTGTTTGGAAGTGTTTTGAATGTGATCGGTCTGGTGTGCCAACTATGCCTGTTCCCAAAGGTCATGGGAATGCACACTTGAGCTACACCTCCTTTGCATAAGACTACTGGATTGAGATTTTGCATTCCTGCAACGTACTTTGTCTTTGAGGACAATTCAGAAACTGCTGGTACAGAAGAGCTGCATGCAAGGAAACAGCTGACTAGAACAAACTAGAGGGGGAGCAACTCCTTCTGAGCTTACCACCACCTTGTGGGTTTCAAGTCTGCCGTCACCCATTAAAGCCCTAAAGATCTGAGCAGAGACAGCAGAAGGATCACCTTCTCCTGTGTGAACCCTGCTCAGATCTTAAGATCACCTGGCCCTTCTCCTTGCCCTACCCAAATCCGAGATGCCCTTCCGTGACGGCATCAAGACTTTGGACCCCCTTCCTTAGGTAAGGTACAGCCGGCCTTCTCAGTGGTCTTCTGCCAACAAGCCAACCCTTTTGATTTAAACTGGTGTTTGGTCCTTCACGCTGATTCAGTATCTCAGGCACTCCTGATACACTTTATCGTTCAGTGGTTTAGATCTGTGGCTACAGAGCCAGAGGTTTGGAGCGCCTCCTTAGAACTTCCAGATCTGGAGTTCTAAGTTAAGACTTAACAACACAGTTTTTGTCTTCTGAAGCAATTTGTGAGACCAGGTCCTTAAGTGTGGTGTAGTGGACAGAGTGATAGACTAGGATTCTGGACACCGGAGGTCAAATCCCTGCTCAGCCGCCGAAACTCATTGGGAATAAAGAACTGGTAAAGTCACTCCTTAAGTGGGTCCCTGTGACACAGTGGTTAAACTGCAGTCAAAAAATGTTCACAACCTGAGTTTGATCCCTATAGGCTCATTTGGCTTTCCATCCTTCCAAGGTCAGTAAACTGAGTAACCAGTTCGCTGGAGGTAGTGGTGGCAGCAATGTACAGTGGTGCTTCGCTTAGCGATTGCCTCTGAGTACTTTTCAATGGGGGGGGGGAAATTCACCAAAAATTAACGAAGAGTCAGAACAAAGCCAAATTATGTTTGCACACATTTTAGAAGGTGCTCTAACGAATCCAAGCATTTAAAACCGTTTTTGAACCTTTTAAGACACACTTAAAATTGCAAAAACGGACATCGCAAAACCATTGAAATGCATTGAATAGGCTTCAATGCATTCCAATGGGGGAATACATTGTTTCGCTTAGCGATGTTTCCTATGGGGATTTTCGCTTAAGGATGGCAATCCATTCCCATTGGAATGGATTAACCGGTTTTCAATGCATCTCTATGGGAAAACGTGTTTCGCTTAGCGATGTTTTCCCATAGAGATGTTTTTTTGGAACCAATTAACATCGTTAAGCGAGGCACCACTGTATAGCCGGCATCAATTATACTGTAAATCACCCAGAAAGAGCTTTAAGTGCTATGGGGCAGTATATAAGCAGCACAAATTTTACTTTTTACTTGACATTAAATATATCCTTACTAGCCAGTGGCAACTTGAGCCTCACCTCAATATTCAGCAACCAAAACTGAAGATTAGCAACAGCTTCTTCGCCCAGTGCCAAGTTCCAGACAACAACGTACAATGCTTTATCTGTGAAGAAACACTGGTTGACTGTCGACATGCTGGCGGGGCCTCCAATATCCCAGACGTTAAATTCTACTGAATCCATCTAAGGGGACAAAGGGAAACATTGAAGGCAAGTCAACACCCACAGCCATTAAAGAAAGCCACCACGGAGATAATAGTCCGCATTTCATGAACTCACACGCTGTGTAGCTTCATCACGCACAATACAGTGAAATCAATGGGTATCAATGTTTGGATTGAAGAAAGAAACAGTTGTGAAGAACGGCTATCGCTTCCACACCGGAAATCTAAGCTAATTGCAGCCGCATATTCATTGAGGAGGGAAACATCAGGGTGGCTAACATCCTCTCTCTCTGAGACAATCATCCCAGCTGGTTACTATCACAGCGTATCTCCACCCATCTCTTGCTGTGCATATTAGTTATCCCAGCCAATCTCAATTGTTACGAAGCCAATAAATCCAACGTTGACCTCTTCCACATTGAACCTCAATCTTCGTTGCAATGATATATTGCCATTAGAGGCGGGCGCAAAATGAACCAAACCACCCAGCGAATGGGCGCTGGTTCGTGGTTCGTTTCATGACCTGGTTTGAGGATCCTGTTTTGCCAGCACAAAATGAAACTGTTGCTGCAGGTATTTTTATAAAACAGACTGCATGCAGTCCAGAAGCCAACTTAAGAGGAATCTCAGCTTCCTTTCTTTTTCAAGTTTCTAGCCCTTGCGGTGGTCAACCAAAGCCTAGGGAAAGCTCAGAAAATCAGAGGGTGGCTGAGCGAGATAAGCCTAGCCCTGGAACTAAAGAGAAAGCTTCTCCAGCCATCCCCACCCTTGAACGGGGACTGAATGATGGCTACAAGCAACAAGAATTACATCACTGAATGGGGCAAGAGTGTGTGTGTGTGTGTGTTAATGTCCAAAATCAACGTAGAACCATGTCATGCAAGGTAAGATTTCGGGTGGATGTTTTCCTGACTTCTCTCGGCATGACAATCCACAGGAGCACTGCCTGTGAAGATCTGGTGGCATCGGCAGAACTGCAGTTCTTGGGAAAAGACGCTACGACACCTCATGAGGGTCGAAACCATGAAGGGCTTCATAGGTAAGAACGAGAACCTTGAATCTGGCCTGGAATCTAGCGGGCAACCATCGCAGGTGAGGTTAGAAGCTCCTTGATATCACTTTGCACACAGACGAAGCTCTATCGTGTCCTGCTGCCTTGAGCCCAGCAGTTTTTCAGATCAAGCTTTCAATTTACCTTTGATTTGAATCCAGCCAATTTTGGAAGCTCCCACTTGGTGGTCCGGATGGTGGCGTCGTTGGGTCCCGAGAGGGAAGCTTTTCCTATCTGCAGGACCTCGATCAGCGTGGATTTGCCCTGCCGTGGCGGGCCCACCACAATCATTTTCATGAGGTTGCATTTTTCCGCCTTGCGCAGCTGGGCGCGCAAGTAAGCTAAAATGGTCTTGGGGCCTAGCAAAGAAATGGGCAGAGAAACTAGTAAGCTGACAGCGACAGCATGGAATGATTTACAAAGGATGATTCCACACAACTGACATTCAAGAATCTAGGTGAAGTCAGCAATGCCTAATCCAAAGGCAAGGGTTTCTGTTTTAACCTGATCCCCCTACTAGGCTGAATACGCAAGATCAACCTTGCAGAAACAAATAAACGCACAAGAAAACCAACACATTAAACCTGAATTCCTATTTGGTGCAGTGGTTAGACTGCAGCACTGCAGCTAAAACTCTGCTCATCTGCATAATTAAATTAAACCACTCAGAAAGTGCTTTCAATGCAATGGGGCAGTATATAAGCTTTTCTTTTTTTTTCTTTTTTCCCTGAAGGCTTTTGTGGTTCAGTTGCCAACATAATCGAAGGGAAGGCTTGTGCTTGGCCACGCCTTCCTCGTGCCAAGAAGCACAGAAACTGGCGCCTCCGAATTACGCTAAAAACGTGACATTCTTCAAAATAACAAATTGCCACCTATCGCTGAAGACTAGGAATTTAAGGGTCTGATCACACAGAGAAACAGATCAGAATTTGGATCACACAGGACACCAAGAAAGCCATTCCAGGCTGACCCCGATCCACACTGTATTTGGATAAACCACCTTTCAAGAGAAACTACCCCCAAAAAATGAACTGATCTGGCAGGACAGAAAGTTTAAGTTTCCCAGTGTGTCCCTCAGCAGCAACAATGGCTTGGCCGGATTCCACCCCATTTTCCCCACCATTCAATAATAACCGAAAGAAGGCTTGGGTTTTGGATTGCCTCACTGTTTCAAACAGCTGACATTAATAAACCGCCGGGAGGAAGCAGGCTCACCCTCTTTTCTGATCTCGGCGGGAAGGCTGCCAATATTTAGCTCCTCAATGTCCAGCTGCCAAAGATTAGACAGTTGTCCGAGTTCGGGAGGAAGCTCATGAATACCGGTGTTGCTGTGTAAAAAAAAATAAACACATCCATTCACTAACCCCAGCGCCCTAGAGTAGGACACGACTGGACTAAATGTCAAGGGGAACCTTTGCCTTTACATTATGACGATAATGGCCCTGTGTGTTTGCGTGTCTGTGCAGTTCTGTGAACATAAGCTTACACAAAATCAAAACCATGGCTCAGGAAACCTCTGGAGAACATCTCACGTCAAGCAACAAAACAATAATAATCATGGGTCATCAAGTCAACTCCAACTTCTGGCAACCCTTTTTAGGGTGTTCCAGGTAGAGAATATACAGAAGCGATCTCCCGTTCCCTTCTCCTGGGATTGCCCCGGGATTGTGCAGCTTGCCCAAGGCCACCCAGGCTGGCTCTACTCCCAGGCGGCACAGTGAGGCATCAAACTTCCAATCCCTGGCTCCACAGCCAGCGACCTCAACCACTGAGCTATCTCACCTCAAGCAACTTAGTGCCACATATAAATAAACAAAGAGAAATATTTTTAAACAAATGAAAGCCAAACAACATGTATACACGCAAATAACTAACCCAGAGACCAACGTCCTGTTGAATATTTATATGGATGGAGCTCCTTACTGCAGAAGGCGCAATAGCGATCTGGTGGGTCAAGTGATCGATCAGTCACATGGCCAAGCAGATGACCATCTTGCTAAATCATCTGTGGCAGCCCTCCACAGCTGGAATTTCATAAACACAGACACTGGACATGATACTGGCCATAAAGTTCAAAAGAACTGAAAGGAACATTTCATAAATGGTCAATCCACCTACAAATAAATCTGTAAGGTGATTCCAATTCAGAAGGTTGCCAAAAATTGTAAGTTCAGCCCTCCAGAGACTCTTAGTGTCTCCTTATTTCCTCATTGCTCCTTTTTTTCCCCTCCTCACAAGCTTCATAACAGGTCACTCCCAGTTGTGAGCCTCAATTCCCAACCCAAATTTCTGGATCCATTCAGACCCTAATCAAAGCTTAAAACTGGTTCATTACAATGAATGTGCAAGCCTCATGCTGAGAGGCAGCGGTGAGGCCCGGCTCACTGGGTCAAAGCCCTGGGACTTTCTGAGTATCGGGAGTTATGACATCCCCTGCATCCCACTTAGGCTCCCCTAATCCTTTAAATCCAGCTGTAATCCTCACAGCAGTTGGGAAAGATACGGATTTCCCCAGCAACAGTATATCGTTGCAAGCAAAGACATTTGTCATGCAAAAGATAGGAGGGTGACTTGGTTTTGAAAAGGCAATTAAGAGCCATTAACTTTCCAAAAGACCTGCCTGTCATTCATTCATACGGATTGATAGGGAATTGAATTTCTGGACCCTCTTAAGCAGGCAAGTCATGAGAGGTCACAGAGACTCTCCTGAGGAGAACCTGCACTTCGTCCTGTCCCAATGCTGGTCAGAGGAAAGATCCGAGAACCGTCAAGGAATGTTAATAACATTTCAAGGACGTAAACCACATTTCCTCAGGACTGGGCTTACTTTCCTAAGTAAAGCTCTGTTAATCCTTTGAGAAGACAGACCGACCGGGGGATGGCGTCCAACTGGTTGTCGTTCAGATACAGAACCTCGAGAGACTCGCTCAAGTATTCAGGGAACTCCAAAGTGGAACCTGGAGAAAGGAAGAGGGGAGAGCAGAATCTATGACAAACACATAGAATGAACACAAGCCTGCAGACATCAATGAGCGATAGAGAGTACGCAACGCCACAGAGGGGGTCTTGATTCAATCCCTCTTCCATCCTGATCAAAAGAATGTAGTGGGTAACAGAAAAATCTAGTTTTTGGGAAAGACCTTTCTTGCCTCAGACCCAGGAGAGACCAAGCACGGCTGATGCATAGAAGACAATCCTGAGTCTAAGGGGAGATCAGCCGGACGACATCTAGTCGTCTACTTCACTTATGAAGGTTCAATCAAGTTCAAGGGACTTGCGCAAGGTCAACCCAACCAATTTTCAACGAGCGTCCTGACTTTATTAAAAGCTTATATAAAGACATGGTGGAAGTCACCAACAGTCTTGTTTTCTTTCTCCTCCTGGAGAAAGCTGGTTTTCTGGGCATCTGTGGGGACAGGAGGGCCCCGATCCCAGCGGTCCAAACGGCGATTGCTGACCGTTGCTTCCTAGGCCTCTTTTCCCTCCGCTGAGCTTAGATGCCCTCTCCGTAAGCCAACGGTCCGTTCCCCTTCTCGCTTTACCTGTTTCCCCACCGGTCTGTCCTCTGCTCCTTGTGGTGAAAAACGAGATCCGCTTCGTTTTGGCTCCTTCGTCGACTCTGTCGGCAAACGCAAAACAGAGGCGTGGTGAAACGGAAAGGCCTCCTCTGGGGTGTTTCCCCTAGGACTGATACAAAGAACTCACTTTCCAAGCAGGTTCTTGGAGAGATCCAAAGACTTCAGTTGTCTGCAGCTCCATTTCTCTTGCGACGGTAACGTGGCTATCTGGTTTCCCGAGAGTTTAAGGGCCACCAAAGCCTGAATTAGGAAGAGAGAATGTTGAAGGTCTAATCATGGATTTAAGGGGTTAAATCCTGTGCTGCCCTGTTTAGCCCTATGGAGGATCTTCGCTGGACGATTAGGTATTTAGCCCATTAGAACGCACTGAGCGGTTTTCAATGCATTTCAATGGGTTTTTTTCCCTGCTTGATGACAATTTCGCTCTACAGCCATTTCGCTGGAATGGATTAACATCGTCAGGCGAGGCACCACTGTACCTAAACCACTAAGCTATCCAGCATGGTACAAAACCCATGACGTATATAGGCTTTTTCTCTATGGAGGATCCCTTTAGACAACGCCAAACCCATGCATGCTGTAGATTACATCCTTTGGCTTAAAAAAAGAGTCCCAGGTTCAAATTCAGTCATTTTCAGGGTGGAGAAGACATATCGCTCAAAGCCTGGAGAGCTGTCAGCTCGCTAGGCAATGCCGAACGAGGTGAGCTAAGGGTTTGACTCAGCATAAGGAAGGGTCCTATATTTAGGACAGCAGAGAAATTATTGAAGGCCTTGCAAGCTAGGGGTTCTGGTTTTTGTATTCCTCTGACTTTCGTTACAGGTCTTGCTACAAACCACTCTGTGCTCATCTCAAGCATCGTGAGATGAGCACAGACAATAAAAACGAGAAAGACCCAGGAAAAAGATACCCCAGGAGCGCCACCTAGTGTTCAAGTCGTCTAAAACTCCGATGAGGTGCCTCTCCCTGTGGCAACAGAGGTGGCTTTCAGGATGGCTTTTGCACCCAAAGGTGCCCAACCAGAGAAGCTGATCATGTGGCATTCCCTCTTTCGAGACAACTGAATGCCACCCAGAATCTTCCACCACTCTGGGAGTGCAACACCACTGCCCACAAGAAAGGGGGCGGGAGCGATAAATAATCTCGGATGCTTCCCGGTGCACCTTTAACTGTGCAATCGCCTTCGGGGCAATGTTTACAAAAGAGGAAAGAAGACCAGCTACACAAGGTCTCTTGACTGGCAGCATTGAACGCCCTTTGTCTGGAAGCCCCCAACCCACCCCAGCTCCAGAGAATTCCAAACGAGGGTAAGTCAAAAGTTTCCCTAACTTACTTCAAGCTGGAAGAGACCAGGGGGAACTTCCTTCAAGCAGTTTTCAGAAAAGTCCACTTCCTTGAGGTGATTTTTCCAAAACACTGCCAAAGTGTCAGGCAGAGATTCCAACATATTTCTAGCTGCTTTGCAGTATTTCTAGAAATGTTCAGAAAGAAAGAGGATTCATATCTGGAAGAATTTCCAGCGTAAGAATGTCAGTGTTTAGAAGCCTACACCACTGTGTTTATGTACAGACAACATTATAATGGTAGCCAGTGTGGTGTAGTGAATAGAATGATCAACTAGGACTCAAGGGGCCTGGATTCGAATCCCCACCATCGAATGTCGCTGGGGGTCTAAAACTGGGAAAATCACTCCTTAAATATTTCACTCACCTTAACTAGTATTACTAGTACTGCTAATGTAGTCCTTGTTCTAGAAATTGCAATGTATTGCGAATTTGTTTCTTTTGCAGATTTTGCTTTTGTTTTTTAACTCATTCAAGTCATATTATTTAGAAAAGGACCAAAATGATCCTTGTGTTTAAACACACAAATACACAAAGAATACTATAGAATACAATCAAAATACCAATAAAATGCCCAGGTCTGAGGAATTAACACAATGCAATGTTCAGTCATTTAAAATGTGGTTTTAAAAAAAGAAAGGTAGGGCATAAAATAAAGGCTTCTAAACAAATGGCATGAGAAAATAAAAATGGTGCGCTGACATTTAAATCAAAGGAACAAGAAACGTCAAGCGAAGAGGGGATTCTTTAAAACAGGTATCACAATAATTAAAATGCGCACCACACACTTGCTCTTGAGGGACGTAGCCACCAGGAGATCACTGTGATGCAGCTCTTAAGAGGTAAAGATATCGATTTGGTGTTTCTACCATGACAGCAGCTCAGACTTACCAAGGGACAGGCCCACGGCTGAGGGAACACCTTCAACTTATTCTTGGACACATTAAGGATGTTAAGCGACTTCAGACAATGGAAAAAGTGCGTGGAGACTTCCGGCAGCTGGTTCTCAGAGACATCCAGTTCCTGTAGCTTCCTTAAGCCAATCCAGTTGACAGCTTCAAAGAAGAGAGAAAAAGAAAAAGAAAAAAAATATCCACAGTGAGAGGTTGGCCGTTTTGGGGTTTGCAACTCTTGCTGACGACTGCAATTTCTTGCGTTCGCGTTTTTCACTTCCAACCAACAAACAGGGAGAGAAAGAACAGGCCACTAGAGGGAGCCAGAGGAGGCCATTGAATGGGTTGTGTTCTGTACTTCCACATTTTTCAGCATCCACAAGGATGGGGGAGCTTGGAACCCATCCAGCGTAGATACTGCAGTCCTAATTATTAGGAACATCTCCATCACCAAAATGTACTCTTTAGCTCCAAAATGAAGAGTTGTGCCCAAGAGGTTTCCAGGGAGCATGAATCTTCGTTTTAATACTAAAGGATGGAGACCCGAGAGAACCTCTTTTTATATGGTTATTTAATTTAAGAAGAAGAAGAATAAAAAGGTAAAGGTTCCCCTTGACATTTAGTCCAGTCGTGTCTGACTCTAGGGCGCGGTGCTCATCCCCGTTCCCTAGCCGTAGAGCCAGTGTTTGTCCGTGGACAGTTTCCGTGCTCACGTGGCCAGCGCGACTAGACACGGAACGCTGTGACCTTCCCATGGAGGTGGTACCTATTTATCTACTCGCACTTTTTACATGCTCTTGAATGGCTAGGAGCTGGGACAACGCGACGGGAGCTCACTCTGTCACGTGGATTTGATCTTATGACTGCTGGTCTTCTGACCTTGCAGCCCAGAGGCTTCTGCGGTTTAACCCACAGGGCCACCACGTCCCTTGGAAGAAGAAAAATGGGGGTAGCCTAAAGAGGTCTGGAAATGACGGAAAACCACTGAGCTGCCCACATTTTTATAATGCATAGCTTTCCTCCATTAGAATGTGAACTTTAGACTTCTGTATTTTCTTCATTTTATATTTTACTATTGAAATGTTTTTATCCCTTTTTAGCTGATTGCTTTGGATCTGTGTGATTTGTATGCTTTTGATATGGTCAAAACGAATCAACACACACACACACAAAAGCATAGCTTTCTTCGCTACCATTGGGTGTAGAGAAGCAGAATTGAAAGCACAAGTTGAACAATATGGGGTTGAAACACAATGCACACGGATGTCAGAACATGGGGTAGCTGGAGGTATATATTCAAAGAAGCTGGGGAGATTTAATTAAGGCCTGCCATTTAAGGAACTACCCTTTGCCATGCATGGTCTCCCCTCAACCGTTGCCTCACAAGACCCAAAGGAACATATCCCACCAGGTTTACTGCTACCCAAGTGGGCGATTTTGGTTCAGCTGAAAATCCCAAGCCCAAAAGAACTCACCATTCTCCTCGTCAAATAACTTTTCCAAGTAATTTTTGGCAGCCAGAAGCCTCTGAAGCTTGGTGAGGTGCAAGAATCCATAAGGAAGGCTAAGGAATTTGTTGCCGGAGACATCAATCTCAAGCAATCTGTGGATTTATACAAGGAAGACCAGCCAAAAACAAACAGATGAATAACGTAACAGACCGGCAAACCCTGGGCCATCCACCACCAGACATGCAGTCCACTGCCATGTTTGAAGAACTGGCTGTGTCCACAAAAGCCCACACTGAAATATAACAGTTCAGTCTAAAATACCACAATGCTTTTGTTTTTTAATTTTTAAAATTGTCTTGGATATGGTTGCAAAGACATGGGATCCTTTGATTTTTTTTATTACATATCCCATCATTCTCCATTCTGCAAGTTACACCGGTCAGACCCACATTTACAGAGACCTAAATGTTGCTCACCTGGAGACAGGGCCTAACTGAGAAAGCTTTATGGCCTCATATAGGCCTAGCTTCATCCTAGCTTCCTGTGTAGAAAGGAAGCTACTTAATTCTAGCTGGGACCCTCCTTTCTACTCACCCTGAGATCAGGCCTAGCTGGCAAGGCTTTGTGGCCTAGAATAGTCCTAACTCCACCCTACTTTCCAGGGCAGATAGAAAGTCGCCTCACTGTTAAATGGGAACTTCCTTTCTTTACAGGAAGCTAGGGCAGTGTTGGGCCTAGGCCATGCCACAAAGCCTTCCCTGTTAGGTCTTACGTCCAGGTGAGCCACATTTAGTTGTGTGTAGGTGTAAAACTTCCAGAATAGAGAATTATGCGATTGATTTTCCAAAACTTCCAAAACTCCCATGCCTACAAATTAACACTTCTTTGAAGTGATTAACACAAAGTTACTTCTTTGACGTCTACCACCATTACCACACTTTGTGTGACCTTGACATAGTGCATTCATAGAAGATCCATTTTCTTCTTTAAAATCTCTGCAGTAGGGCATTTTCCGCTCAGACACTGACCGTGAGAGGCGCGGGGAGCACTGAGTACTATAATAAGGAATGACTTTGCCAGTCTCAACTACTTTTTAAACCAAGCAAAGGAGGAGAAAGAGTCCTTCTCTAATAGCTGCATATGGGCAACCACATCTCAACTAAAGAAAACAGAGGCCTTTTCCACTCTGCATGTAGCCCTGTTTTTTCAATGGTTCGCACAAGGAAGCTAATAAACCAAACAGTGTTCTACTAACCATAGTTTCCAGTTGCATCCGAACCTGGAAACTATGGCTATAGATTTCAGTGCCCACAAGGTTCGGCCACAATTCAGGCTATTGAACTGAGGTGCAAACGTTGAACTAGCCAATTAATTTTGTGCACAAAAAGCAGAGTCAGTGTGAAATGTCAACTCAATTGCCTTCAAACCCTTGCTCAACTCAAAAGAGGGCTAGAAATTAGTCTAGGACTTACTTTGTGCAGAGAATGCCATCTGAAGAAGGAATGTCAGGCAGTTCATTTAACTGGTTCTCACTGAGGTTCAGTTTCTGGAGGCTTATCAAACCCCACGGGATAACAGAAGGGAGAGAGGTCAAGCAATTGGCTGAGAGGTCAAGCTCGGTGATCCGGTGAGAAATATCTATCAGCCAATCGAGATCCACCCAAGGAAGCCTGAGGTTTGACCAATTCACAAGAAGAACCTGAAGATTTTTTTTAATTAAAAAAGGTGTTAATCATAACCATTTGGATGAAAAACAGGAAGGTCTGAATTGCTGGAATGAACCCAAGGCATTCCATCTGGAATCCCAAAAAATAGTTACAACCAGCATTCCCTCTAATGTTCAGCCCTGTTGGGTGGGGCTACACCCCTCGTCCGTGTGACTCCGCCCCTCCCTGACATGCATGACTCCACCCACACCCCATGTGGGTTTCCACACCAGAACCCAAGGGGCTGGAAATACTTGCTGTGGGTGTATAGAGGGAGGCACAGCACTGCACACTCACACAATCACACACATTGAAGTCAACCTTGGTCACCACTAAAATATATCCACTAAATTGTGAGTCTTATGCAAGTGCTCCCTTCTATTCAGCATTCTATTCAATGGGTCTATTCTAAACTGGGATTAGCAATTTGATTTAGGCCAATGCCACTGGCAAAAGAGAGAGCTGTGAAATATCGTATTTTTTGCTCCATAAGACGCACCTTTCCATAAGACGCACCAATTTTTTTAGGAGAAGAAAACAGGAAAATATAATCTGTTTTCTTCGCTCCATAAGACGCACAGACTTTCCACCACCCCTGTTTTGTGGAGAAAAAGTGTGTCTTATGGTGCGAAAAATACGGTATTATTCTTTTGAACAAGATCCCCCATAATTCCTCCTCTAGGATGGTCAAGAGAATTCTGAGAGTTGCAGCCCAAAAAGACATTTTCCCCCCTGCAACCCGCCCCTCCTGTTCACAGATTCACACTCCCCCAAAGAGGAGACGGATCCTCCGTTCCCCAGATTGCTTTTCTTTTAGTACGCAAGTGGTTACTTACCGTGTTTCCCGGGGCGCTTCTGGGTAAGGCAGCTGCTTCGACAAAATATTTGCGAAGAAGTTGCTTGCTGGCGGCAGGGCAGTCCATCAAAATGTAGGAACAGAAAGAGGAGCCGTTTGCAAGCAAGAAAGCAGCGACTTCCTCGTGTCCTAACCAAAAAAAGGAGGCGCAATCAAACATAGAATCCAAAGGATGCTCTCATGCATGTTCCTGGCTTTTCAAAATTAAACTAAGCGAAACACTAATCCCCAAAGGGTAATTCTACTCCTCATTCTACAGAGTGTAACCCCTATGTTTCAAGAGCCAGGAAGAATCTGAGTCAAGCACAGGAACTGCCACAAGAAGTGTGTTTCCTCAAACTGGAGGTTGCTGCTGTTTTGTTTTAAATCTCAGATGCACTTCCCTATATATTAATAAGAAAATACATTCAGACTCAAGGCTGACTATTTCAAAAAGCAACCAGAGAACTTCCCAAGAGGCTGGTTAGGTCAAGGCTGTATCTTTGAAACAGTGGAACTTCATGCATGAAACCTACCTTTCCAAGTTCTGCTTGAATAAAAATAAAATTCTACACATTTACAGAAGGAAATGGCAGAATGCAATTTTGTCATCTCTTCCAAAGTTCTTGCTTGCAATAAACACGAGAAAGGTTAGTTTAGTGCTTGAATCTTTCAAGTGTTTTAAGTTGTTAATGTCTGCACGTAATTTGTTTATTTTTCTTTCCAGACAAATTTTCCATTTTGGAATGCCATGAATTTCCTGGGGTTGTTGCAGCTTCTAACCATGTTCCGTGGTTACTATGGTAGCTATGCTATACATGAGGTGGTTTATTATTATATTATCATTATTATTATTATCATTATCATTATCATTATCATTATCATTATCATTATCATTATCATTATCATTATCATTATTAATTAAATGCATAGAGCTTTCTGCACTGTTAGAAAAATACAAAAGTACTCTTCCACCCAGTCTGAAGTGATGCCGTTTGGTTATCCTCTTCCCAGGCTTAGGGCAGTGGTCCCCAGATGTTCTTGAACTACAGATCCCAGAAATCCCGGCCAGCACAGTGAGAGGTAAAGGCTTCTGGGAGTTTTAGTCCAAGAGTATTTGGGGACCCAAAGTTGAGAAGCATTGGCTTAGAGCTTTGTAAGAGCCTCTGGACTGCAAGGAGAACTAACCTATCCATTCTAAAGGAAATCAGCCCTGAGTGCTCACTGGAAGGACAGATCCTGAAGCCGAGGCTCCAATCCTTTGGCCATCTCATGAGAAGAGAAGACTCCCTGGAAAAGACCCTGATGTTGGAAAAGAGTGAAGGCAAGAGGAGAAGGGGATAACAGAGGATGAGATGGTTGGATAGGGTCATCGAAGCGACCAACATGAATTTGACCCAACTCCGGGAGGCAGTGGAAGACAGGAGGGCCTGGCGTGCTCTGGTCCATGGGGTCACAAAAAGTCGGACACGACTTAACAACAAAGATCAAAGCCAGCATTCTGAAAGGAGCCTATAAAATTTAGGGCCAACTAAACAACAAAGATCAAAGCCAGTATTCTGAAAGGAGCCTATAAAATTTAGGGCATCCGATGAGAAGCATCAAGCAAACTAGACCAACTTCCCCTCATATTAGCCAGCCAACGGTCGAAGACATGAGTGGGGGACAAACACACTCCCACTCTCCAATAAAGGCAATAAGCAAAAAAATATATGCTGCACCTTGAATCCCAAATTATTTTGCAACAAAGTAACAAAAACACGGTAATAAAGCATACGAAGTCCAAGATAACAAGGGAGGACCAATACCAAGGGATTCCAGTGTCTGCCACTGTAGATTATTGCTTCATTCAACCTAACGGTAGGGCCGGTCCCGGCGGCACGGAGCCCACTGTCCCCTACCTGCTTTAATCGCTGCATAGAGTGGCAATCGGATAAGAGCAGGGAACTCATTGTTTCTCACAGCACAGCTGTCCAGGTCTGCTTTGTACGTCAGGACCAGCAGCTTGACCATCTCGAGGTGACCTTGCTGGCAGGCAACAGCGAGCATCCAGTTCAGAAGGCGCACCGAATTTGAAGGACCTGTCAAAAGAAGCATGCCCGCATATCATGACAATGCTAGCTGGGGGATTCTGGAGTTGTATTGCAAAAATAAATAAATAACTTTTCCAAACCTTGGGAGTCAAACAGACCAGAAAAACCAGAATCATAAAAGCCACACATAAGAACAAGGTTAACAGCATCATAGCCATCAGGTAGAAATCCCAGCAACATTGCTGTATTGATTTGCATAATGATCCCACGGTGAGTACAAGCAATTAAAATACTTGGGGAAAGATTCCAAGGAGCATCCTTGAAACAATCTGATAAGGCTCACTATTAAACTCAGTAATCCTCAGATTAAAAACTGAATTTAAAAAGGAAGTTGCTAATGGTTTATATCTCCCTGCTGCTGCAGGTATACCTCCGTCCTGTGCCCAAACATACCTGTTCTCTAGAAATTTCAAGAGTAAAACTACAGATGTCAGCTCTGATGAAAAGTAACATTTGCACGGTTCATTTAAAAAACAGGGGAATTGTTTTGCTCAACATGGGACTGCAGAAAAATGCAGCTTGTGTTGTTGGTTGACTCAACTAGATAGCATTGAGTATGCTGTGCATATTCCAAAGTTCTGTTCCAAAGTTGTGGGCTTTTTGTGTGCCTTCCACATGTGATGAAGAAAACCATACTGCTTCAGGGCCTGACACACCCACCCACCATTGCCATAAAAACCAGTACATACCAGTTGGATTTTTTTAAAAGGAAAAGCACAACAGAGAGTGGGCTAAACTGAATTCCTTGGGCACCAATGTTTACAAAAGTTGGGGCCACCACAGAAAAGGTCCAGTCATTCGTAAAGCAAACTGATCACTCTTAATAGTGAGCCAGACACTAAGACCCCCAAAGGGTCATATAGATCCGGGCAGTCCTTCCATTAGACCTTAGAGACTCACTTTCCACCCGAGAAAGCAAGTGAGGATAAGAGAGACACATTGGTACAGATTATATTGTAGGCGGTGTAAGAATGAAATGTGCCTCAAGAGAGACAGAAGCCCAAGAAATGCAACCCACCAAGGACACAATCCAGAAGCTCTTGGGCCACATCCTTGTGGCCAAAATATGCTGCCACGACAGCTGGGTTGTCATCGTTGGGTTCGAGGGGCACCAACACACAGACTTCTTTCAACAAGTACTTCACCGTCGCCAGATCCCCGTAGGCAGCAGAAAGACTTAGGAGATGGCCCTGTTCGGGGAAGATAAGGGAGGGAAACACTCAACAGAGCATTCAGATGGTCCAAAACAAGATGCTCATTTTCACAAGCTGCTACCGAAGGTGGTATATTTTGGTGGAGAGTTGAAGGATAAGGTTGCCAGCCCACTGCTCACTAGGAACTTCAAAAACCCACCTACCGTGTCCTCACCAACATATACAGATGGAAACAGAGTCAAAAAATACAACGGGTGGCAAAAGGACGGCTGAGGATCGATCTGGAAGTCTGTCTCTTCTAGGAGCACAGCCGAAAAGGAATACTAATTTTTTGGTACCTTTGTGTCTCAATCAGGAAATCCAACATGGATCCTTTCTATCCTTAAAAGCCGAAATTCAGTTCCAAACCCTTCTGTTTGACAGCATTCTTGAAGACTTATGGACCTGTTTCTAGTATTATAAGCAAAGCGTGCTGCTTATATAAAGCAAAGCGTGCTGCTTATATACCGCCCTGTAGTGCTTCCAGCACTCTCTGGGCGGTTTACAAGTTAATTATGCAGGCTACACATCCCCCCCCCCCAGCAAGCTGGGTACTCATTTTACCGACCTCGGAAGGATAGAAGGCTGAGTCAACCTTGAGCCGCTACCTGGGATTGAACCCCAGGTCGTGAGCACAGTTTTGGCTGCAGTACAGCAGTTTAACCACTCCGCCACAAGGCTCTTCCTATAAGATACCTGGTGTGATGTAGCAAATACAGGGATGGTATAGGAAGCCTGGGTTTGAAGCCCTACTATGCCATGGAAACTGACTGGGAGTGTGGAAGTGGTAAAACCACTCCTTAAATATCTCACTTACCTTGAAGGCCCTATTAAGGTTGCTATAAGTCGGTTCCGACTTGACAGCACATAATAACAGCAACACAACTGAGAGACAGCAGTTCGGAAGCATCAACTGTGTTGCACTGAAACAGGAAGGGCATTATAAATGTATAAGGACTGCCACTGTTTCTCCAGGATTTTTTTTTCCCTCCCAGCACGGTGTCTGAGATAACAACCTCTGTCAACTAGCTCATCCAAATTTAAAAAAATAAATATATTTTTTCCCTCCCAGCACGGTGTCTGAGATAACAACCTCTGCCAACTAGCTCATCCTCTAAGACTCATTCGATCTTTTAAATTGGCACATGAAGATTTTTTTATTGTTGTTGGTCTGCTGCTGCTAATTGCTAGCTAACATCTGAAAAGAGGCAAGGCTTAGCCGTTCTGAACAGTGATGGTTCATTTTAGCAGCAAGGACAGAGGACCTCAGGCTTCAAACTTGTGAGTCCTGCAACATGACTGTGGAAGTTAGCCCAGTTCTAATTCTACCGGGAAGAGTCCCCACCACCCGTAAAGACATCGGTGTGGATAAAACCCAATATATTATTAACTCGGCCAACCATCCCTGTGTTCCACCAGCTGCTGAAGCTGTGAAAAAGGACTCCGCTCAGTGATTCCGACGACATCTGTCCGGGTGGCAAGAGAAGAGAGCTTAGATCTGTAGCAAGCCATGAGCGCACATTATCGGCTTGACATTTAAAACCCTGCAATCCAGAATCAACGACACCGTACTTTGACTTGCGACTGCCAAGAACAGAGGCTTTCCCCTCGCCTCTCAAATTACTACAGACTAGTTATACCATCTGGAGGAGGACAGGAAAGAGCTGTAACCAATTAACAACTTGCCCTCTGCATAGAATTGGGGACACTCGCCAAAGAAGAACGAAAACAGTCCCTTTCTGTTATTACACCAAAGGAACCCACTGTTTTGTTCCCATGCGGTTATTAAGTGATTGCCCTAGTTTTATTGTCCATCTTTAGTTATTTGATTTGGATAGCTTCTCACCTTTTCTACTTGGGAGATGTTATCTTGACAGGCTGTCTTAATCAGCTCTCGGGCTTTTGGAAATTCTCCGCTCCTGTATGCACCCTGAACTGTGTCGGTTGTAGGAGACTGGCTGATGGAGAGATCGCCCGCTGAGGACTGCCGGCTGCCCATGTCTGCCGGATCTGTGCAAAAAGGGAAGGAGAAAATCCACAGGGACAGATGACTTAATGGCTCACCTTTGGCAAGGCGGCTCCTTCTGTGCTCCTTTCAATATAAAATACATAAAATACAGCCACATTAACTTGATGCATGATGTGGACCACAAATGCCATCATCTTGACTAGTGGCAAGCCATCGCACCGACTTCTTAACAGCAGGTACTCTGCTGCAGTGATTTACACCATTTGACTTATGCCAGCAAATGTAAAAAGATAAGATGCTGGTCACTATGTGTTTTTTGTTCATTTTTGTGGATGCATAAGATGCAGGAGGATGGTAAGTAGGTATACCCAGTGAAACCGCTGTACAAATGAAAGCCAAAGGATCTTTCAAGACGGATCTTTATGCAAGCATCTGAATCACATTTCATCAAGAAGTTTGACTCCTGTGGCATAAACAAAGACTTTTTCTAAACATACCACATTTGATAAGCAGCTTATCAAAACAAGAACGTTTATGACATCCAGTGGATATACATGTTTGACTCCTGTGGTATAAACAAAGACAACGACTTGTTCTAAACATATCACATTTGACAAGCAGCTTATCAAAACTAGAACGTTTATGACATCCAGTGGATATACATATTTGGGACACATCTGCTGGTTTCATTTCCACCATGATTCACAGACTCCTACAAGCATTTTTATTTGGTCCTAACTCCGCACCAGGTTGCAGAACTTCCCAGATTTTCTCACTGACTAAGTTGTATTCATCTGCAATTTTCAAATCGACAGATGCCCCTCTCTGGTTGTGTGCATTTTACTTGCATATAATTCAGAAAAGCAAAAGGAAAGAATGAAATGCATGAAGGTGCCTCTCGAGGACAGGAAAACAAAGCATATGGAAAGACAGAAAGGCAAAAGCTGCTTAGTCCACAAACTGGATACACAATATCATAGGACCCCCTTATCGACAGGATCAGTATCCACTGATTCATTTATCCACAGTCTGAAAAATATTTAAAATGCTAAAATATTTTTTTCAGCATTTTTCAGCATCCATGGAGGAGAGGCTTGGAACCTCTGGATATGGGGGTTCTACTAAAAGCACCTTTGGAATACACTTGCAAAAAAAAATCGTGGCTAACGCAATGTTTCTTCAACGTAATTACCACCCAGTAACTGTTTTGCAAACAGTCACTGTTAATAAACATAATTGCCACTTTGTGCACTTCCTGTCTTTCCGTTCCCCTCTCTCCTTCGCCGTTTCCAATTCTCCTCACCACAAATAACTTTGTAATTGAAGGAACACTTCATGTGTCTGCATGAAAGAAATTGTTCACTGATGGCACGCCATGATACTTGGCAGAGTCCATTTCAAACAAGGACATGAAAACGGAGTAAGCGAACTTCCTTAAATTTTGCCCAAAGCTACTTTCCACAGGAGGATAACTCACAAAAGAAAAGCACACAGACCCTCGCTACGGGCAGGGGCTTAAGGATAGTAGCTTCCCTGTGCCTACTTAGCTGACCCATCTTTCTTCATAGCTGTGGGTTATGTTGTCTCTCAGGACCTAGAAGAGGGGCCACATCCTCACATACAGAAGGTCTCTCAAGTTCAAACCTTAGGTGGGGAACCCTGAATTGTTGCCGCTACTCAGTGCAGACTGAAGAAGGGACCAGTGTCTTTTCAGGGTAAGTCAAGCTTCTGGATTCCATCACGAGCCATGACTGTAGTATTGGGTCAACTCTAGATAGTCAAGAGTATTGAGTCGACTTGTGTTCAAGAAACACTAGCCTATTATGGAGTTGACATAGGGCAGAGCCACCTTCTCTGTTGTTGTTTAGTCAACCATGACTGTAGTATTGGGTCAACTCAAGAAATTCAAGAGACTGTAGTATTGGGTCGACTTGTGTTCAAGAAACACTAGCCAATTACGGAGTTGACATAGGGCAGAGCCACCTTCTCTGTTGTTGTTTAGTCATGTCCGACTCTTGACCCCATGGACCAGAGCACAGGCCCTCCTGTCTTCCACGGCCTCCCAGAGTTGGGTCAAATTCATGTTGGTCGCTTTGATGACACTGTCCAACCATCTCGTCCTCTGTCGTCCCCTTCTCCTGCCTTCACTCTTTCCCAACATCAGGGTCTTTTCCAGGGAGTCTTCTCTTGAGATGGCCAAAGGACTGGAGTCTCAGCTTCAGGATCTGTCCTTCCAGTGAGTGCCACCTTCTCAGTTGACCTTCAATTTTCCCAGTGGCACATAGATACTGTGATCTCCTAAATGTCCTGGTCCATTTCTGTATGAGAGGAGGGAACACACTTTAGAGATCAACTGAAAATGAGGTCAGAACCCCAGATATACGGGTTCTGACCTCATGGTTGGGAAAGAACAAATGGGGGCACATGTTTTCTATGCCAAAGTTTCTGGGTTCAATTCTCAGCACCTCCAGAGACGAGTAGATGAAGGAAAGCCCCCTGTGAAGGCAGAATGGAATTGGATGGACAAAATGGTTCAATGTTGCCTAAGAGAGCATCAAACACCGGAGTACAAAATTCCACAATCCAAATTCCACAAACAAATCCTATTTAAATAAAAAAAAGAGATCCAATTTGAAAATCTAATTTTAAAAAATCACAATTTTTAATCCACCCTGCAGTGATTTCAATTGAGGTTTAAAACGATTTGATCTAAATCAAACCCACCCTGCTCCTCTATAAAATTGCCAACTTTGAAACACATAAATACTGGCCACCATCAGATCACACCTCATTTTCATTGCCAAAAAAAAGGCAGCCCCCAGACAGAGGCACTTCAATGCTTTTTGAAAGAGAATGACGTGTTTGGATCCATCTGTAGCTGCTGTCAGTAAATCATCTTGAATGGCACAGCTTAGATTACCAATAAAGTCTGACTTCGTCAATTATTCAACACAGAGATCAAGTGGCCGAGCCATCCGAGATGGCTCCGGGGATTCACACCGTTAAGTTGAAAAGGCCTGGATAATTGCCCCGTTCTGAGCAATCCTCAATGTGTGTGAAGGACAGGATGATCTGTAAAAGTCAGAGAGATGCTCCCATCTTGGTTCCTGCGATTCAGACATGCACAGGGGAGAACGATGGATGAAACACCTTCAACTTTTAATATCATATCTAATTCTTTCAAAATATTTGCACGCTCACTCTTTTTAGCTTTCAAATATTGTCTTTTTCATGACGAAAAGCTGCTTTGGGTCGTTTTTGAGGAGCAAGGCAGGGCAAAAATATTTTAAATAAGGAAGTCATTCCAAAACTCGGAGCAGTCTGGAGGACTTTGACCCAAACGACGACCCGCAGACCCAAGATCAGCAGGAGAAGGAACATGACCATTTCCAGAAGAGTTTGTATTCCACTCTTGTGCGATGAAGGAGCACAGAATTCATCTGGCCCATAAATTCAAGCGTGAGAATCTTTTCTCAAAAGTACAATTCTCTTGCCTTCTAGTTACAAAATTGCCTCCATTTTGATTTGCAAAACAGTCTCAAAACTGAGAAGGGAGCTAAGTAGGAATTTAAGGGTTCAAGAACTGTGTTTTCCTATCACACTTTCAGATAAATCTGAGTTGTCACATAATGTGCCATCAAGCCAAAAAACCAGCTTACAGCACCCTAACAGGACTTTCAGAGCATGTCAAATATTTAGTGTGGCCTTATCAAGTTCCACTCCTAGTCCAGGACATTTCCACAGCTGTGCATGGATTCAAACCAAGATCTCCCAAGTCCTAGACCATCGGTGTACCGCACTGAATATCTAAACATGGGTAATATCCATACTAAATGGAAGGAATGAAGCACATTTTATTTACAACACCTTCAGCACCTGGAACAAATTCTTGAGCCTCTCCCTGAGTAGCAAAAGCAATTAGCTAGGAAGAATAAATGTAAATATAAAACTAGATGCTAATAATTGTGATTACACACACAATGTGCTGTTTACAATCCTACAAATATAGATACTTTCAGTCAAAGCAGATCAAAATCTGCTCTTACCTTGCTTTACTTCAAACCTATTGCTGAAAGCCAGACAAACAACATCTGAATCTACAATCCTACATACATGCACCGGACAAACTCAATAGCCTTCATGCAAGGTCTGCAGTGTTGAGCCCTCTTCCTGTTGTTGCTCAGGCTTAGACTTTGGAGAGCCCCCATGGGTAGTCATTATATAATTCAGAGGCAGGCCCTCTCTTTCTCACTCATTACACTTTGTCGAGGTTTGCAGTGGTCCACAATGGCATGGACCATGTTTAGGCTTTATTTAGGACTGGTCAACAACCATGGGCCCAAAACAGCAGAATATCGGTGGTTGGTCTAAGAACTGACTATCCATCTCAGAAGCAGAACAAGACATTCTCCCAAAACCCCTTTCATCAATTACTCCTGTATTTCACCAAGCTTTCTTCATTTCAGCAACCTAATTCAGTCAATACTGTTGAAAAACAGAGCCGAAAATACTGTCGTACTGGAAATCTACCGTTAGATTCCAACTCTCTCTTGATCAGATCCATGAAGGACCACTGCATGCATAGAATTTCAAGAGATGCTCATGAGATGTCACTCTCTTTCACGTGTCATCATCCTGTATCTTCCCAACACTTTTTTTTCCTTATTCCAAAAAAATCCATCAAGGAGGGGAAAACATAAGCAGCATGCCTCTGGAATCATCCATAATCAATTGCACATTATCACCAGAAATGGTGACTAACTTGGCCGGCAGTGTTAAAAATAAGCCTTTTAAAGCATGCAATACATTATTATAAATGCTTTTCCCCTGTAAGAACGATTGTGCTCTACAAGCAACTTTCACACTCACATTGCTCTACTTTCGTCAAAATAATACACATAGCAACTACACAAATGCAAACGAAGTCAACAAAGTAAGAAACAGTTTAAATATTATTCAATCAATCAATTCAATGAATTAGTTTTACCTTTTTTCTTCGACAGACTTTTTAGCAACAAACAGATTTGTGTTACTAAAGTTG